AATACAGAAGCTAAGGAGAAGGGAAGATATCCTCAAGCCTTGCCCTGGGCCACTACTGAGGTCAGAGTAAGATAGGAATACATGGTTTCATTAGGAACAGATTGAGGACAGTAGAAAAACTTTTATTTGATGATTTTTTTTCTCTTAGGGAACTCTTTTTCCATGCTGCAGAGCCATTTATAGTTTTTTATAAAGTTAGTAAAAATCAGCGTTTGTTAACCGTGGTTTTCTACCATACCACTTAACCAAATTATGAATTGTAGGTACCTGTTCAACGCATCCTTTAACGTTCTTTAATTTCTTCATGGTCATAATCCAATCAAGATCAGACCCCACTATTTAGACTTATTTCCATGTAGGAATTCATAGTCACTATCATTAGAATCCTATCTTGAAATGAACTGTGAAAAAAAAAAAAAAGTAACTGCTTACTTTTTTTCATGTAGAATTTGAATCTCTGAATTGTAAGAAATAGCAGAATGACCCATAGATAAGTAATGATGCCAAGTTGTATTGCCTCTATGTTGTAATGTTTTAATACAAGGCTGTAACATGTCAGTATCATTTTTTTCCTCTAACGAGGTTAAATGGTTTTTATTCTATTTACAGTGGTCACATCCAACCTTGCTCTGAAAACCCATTCCTATCTGTTACTAAACGAAATTGATTAAAATTTTACCCACTTGTATTGCAGTTGAATATTTCCAGTATTATAGAAGATAAATTATTAAGTTTTGTACTACAAAGCTAATTCCGATCATACAGCTCTGTTTATATACTTTGTTCCCCATCAAATAGTTCCTTTAAAAACTATTTTGTTGTTGGAATGAAAATAACTACTAATATTTTCATTAATGTAAAGTGACACTCTTTAAGTATTGATTTATAATTATTTTTATATTTTTTTCTACTCCTGTTAGAAATTTTTAGCCAGTTAGTTACAAGTAAAAAAAAAAAAAAATGTTCTACTGTTTTAACATTTGTCCATAACATTTAATTTTGTGTTTTATGTTATCTTTTTTTTTTTTTTTATCCTATGCCTTGATCGTCTTGAGCTCTTTCGACCATGCGACGCCCAGTAAATTTCACCTTCTTTCCTGGCTTTGTTTCTAATGTCCTGTAGTCTGGGACACGTCAGTAGATGCAGAGCTGTCATGAATCCTTGTCGACATGGTGTACATATTGCTTATTCGACAACTCCAATACAATATAGATGGCTTTGGAGATAGTCATGTCCGGTTTTCGAGGGAGATCCATTGATACTCTTCCATTTTCTTCTAGTAATGAAGCCCATTCCGGGTGGGGACTGCTTTAGGGGATTCATGGCGCAAGTTGAAATATAGGGATTTAAATATTGGTACGTGGAACGTAAGGAGTTTAAACACAGCAGGGGGGCTAAAATCGGTCGCGAATGAGGTAAATGGGTACAATTTGGATGTCGTGGCTCTGCAAGAGGTTCGCTGGACAGGGGAGGGCTCGATGAGGGAAGGAAAGTACACTATTTTGTACGGAGGAAGCGGGAATCATTGTTTAGGTACTGGGTTTCTAATTAGGAGTAGATTACTATCCGCTTTGAGCGACGTACAATTCTTTAGTGATAGAATTTCGGTAGCTATATTTCAGGGACGTTGGTTTAAAATCGCATTAATAAACATACATTGTCCGACCGAAGACAGTGACGATGAAGTCAAAAGTGAATTTTACGATAAACTCGAATGGGTTTATGATAAACTACCGCGAAACTACATGAAAATAATTGTAGGTGACGCGAACGCAAAGGTAGGAAGGGAAGAAGTTTATATTCCGACGATTGGTAAAGAAAGTTTGCACGAATATAGTAATGATAATGGGATCCGTCTGATAAACTTTGCCATCTCGAAAAACCTGATAATTAAAAGTACGACGTTTAAACATAAGGATATTCATAAATATACTTGGACATCACCGGATTCGCAAACACGAAATCAAATAGATCATGTCTTGATACAAAACAGCTGGCAAAGCAGTATAATCAATGTACGGTCTTATCGAGGAGCAGAATGTGGGTCGGATCATGAATTAGTAATCGCGAAACTTCGACAAAAACTTAATATAAAAAAGAGAAAAGAAAACCGTTTCGATTTTGAGAATTTTAATTTGGAAAAATTAAAAAATCCATCAATTAGAAACCAATTCGAGCTAGATGTTAAGAATAGGTTTGAAGCTTTAGAGCTTCCTGACGAGGACCACGAGGATATTGACAAGTTATGGATAGAGATCAGAGATAATATTAAAGCGGTCGGTAACTCGTGTCTAGGAAAAAAGGAAAATAAGAATAACAAACCGTGGTTTGATGAAGATTGCTTAAACATGTGTGAAAAAAGAAAAGCCGCTAAATTAAAAGCTCTAAATAATCCTAGCGAAGACAATCTGGAATACTTCCGAATCTCAAAGAACGAAACGACAAAATTGCTCAAAAATAAAAAAAGGGAGTATCTTAAAAATAAAATAATTGAAATAGAAACTAATAGAATTGAAAATAACCTAAGAGAAATGTACAAAGGTATAAACAGATCACGTAATATGTAGGGCCCGTAACGTCTGGAATTAGGGATGATAATAACAATATTCTGACCGATCCGGTTGACATATTGAATAAGTTTAAGGACCACTTTGACAATATTTTAAATACGGTAAATTATGATCTGTGTCCTCCTTCTGAGTACCAGAGTGCTGAACCATTAATAGAAGGACCAAGTAAAGAGGAAGTTGAAGTAGCTATCGGAAAATTAAAATCATATAAAGCAGCGGGAATCGATAATATTCCTACTGAACTAATTAAGGCATGCGGGGAATCTGGAGTTTCTAAAATACATCGGTTGGTTAAAAAGATCTGGGTGAACGAGAAATTACCTGAAGAATGGAAAGAATCTATTCTTATTCCGATTCACAAAAAGGGTCCGAGGACGGATTGTAATAACTATCGAGGAATTTCACTCCTTCCGGTATGTTATAAAATATTCACTTTAATCTTAACCAGTCGAATCACGGAATACGCCGAGGAAATTATCGGAGACTACCAATGCGGATTTAGAAGGAATCGTTCGACTATTGATCAAATATTTTCTTTAATATTAGAGAAAAAATTGGAGTATAACGGTATTGTTCACCAGCTGTATATAGATTTTAAAAAGGCTTACGATTCTATTGACCGCCAGAAACTGTATAATATTCTAATTGAGCAGGGAATTCCAAAAAAACTAGTAAATCTAGTCAGGATGTGCTTGACGGAGACACTCAATAAAGTTAGAATCGGTAATAATTTGTCCGAAAAATTTGAGGTTCGTTCGGGCTTAAAACAGGGGGATTCTCTTTCGCCTGTCCTGTTCAATTTGGCATTAGAACATGCCATTAGGGAGGTAATGCGAACCGAGAAAGGGTTGGATCTGGGCGGGACAACATCCGTGCTGGGCTATGCTGATGATCTGGTACTGTAAAAAAACTATAATACGACAACGTTAATGAAAGCCGGGAAAGAACTAGGACTCGAAATAAACGTGGATAAAACAAAATATATGGTTAGCTGCAAAAATGGCGATACTACTGGTGACATCGATATAGATGGTAATATGTTTGAACAGGTAGATAAATTTAGGTACCTAGGTTCAACGATAACTAGAAAAAACGAAATTGAACAAGAGATTAAGGTTAGACTGAAGGCGGGAAATGCTTGTTATTTTCTGTGACAAAGCTACTTAGTTTCGCGCCTCTTGTCCCGGAACTTAAAAATTAGAATCTATAAAACAATTATCTTGCCTACAGTTCTTTATGGATGCGAAACTTGGCCGCTTACATTAAGGGATGAACAGCGTCTTAAGGTTTTTGAAAATAAAGTATTGCGTAGAATATTCGGACCGAAGAAGGATGAGTTAACCGGAGAGTTCAGACGGTTACACAACGCCGAATTGTAACCCGCTGTATCCGGGTAATATAATTGATCTAATTTCATCGCGGCGAATCAAATGGGCTTGTAAAGTTGTTGGGCTTAGTAACGAGAGAATTCCTAAAAGGTTAATATTTGCTGTGCCGAATGGTAAGCGTCCGAGGGGTAGACCGAAGCGAAGGTGGAAGATTGCATTAAAGCCGATCTGAAGGGACTGGGTTTGGACGGCGAACGGTGGAGGGAGGTGTGTAACAAGCGATTGGTGGTGTCGGCATCGAACCTTCGGGTTCGCTAAGCCTTATTATTATTATTATTTATATAATGAAGCCCATTACTTCTCCTTTAACTCTCTCTAACTGTCATTTCTGTTCCAATTCTTTAGTGATTATTGTTTTGATTAGCTCCTTTGTCCTTAGAAAGGGATTGGCATATCTGGCTGATCTCTTCTGACACCTTTTGCTATTTGGTCAGCATTTTCATTACCTGTCAAACCGCAGTGTCCTGGTATCCACTGTAGAACGACATCTGTGCCTTCTAAAATCAGCTCCTCAATCAATTCCTGGCACATACTGATTTGATTTGTGGAACTTTATTATTACAGCTATAAACATTCTTTATTAATTATTACAGCTTTGCAAGTCGATTAGGACCACAACTTTTTGCAGTTTAGACTTTTTTATCACTTCTAATGCTAGAAAAACTGCTTTTACTTACTGTCAAAGTTATTTGCTAGCTTTCCTTCAGGCTCTGATTTGGCCTGGGGACATTTGGAAACGTTCTTCATAAACAGCAGCTCCCCCATCCTTTCTTCGCAGCTCTATTCACAGAACCTGAACAGAAGTCTGTGTACACGTGTAACCATGGGAGACTGGGGTACCTGTCCCTTATAGTTTTAAGTGTTAAATTCCTTAGTTCTATCTTAGAGAGCAACTTTGCTTGTTGATTGGTTGCAGGAGCTATAAATTAATTTGTGCTTACTTTGTAGAGACCCTTGGTGGGATCATCATGAAATTATTAACTGAATTAATGATTTATAATAATTGCACATTATTTAATTGAAATCGTAATATGCTTGTTTTCTTTTTTTAGTTATCGGCCTTGTTCGAAACAAGACCACCTATTTCGAAGGCCAAGATGACTTCCATTACTCGCTCAGCCATCAAAGCAATAAAGTTTTATAAACATGTTGTACAGAGTGTTGAAAAATTTATTCAAAAGGTATTTGTATACTGTTATTATTAATTGAGCTTTTTTTTTTTTGTAGCAGAAATATTATATAATATTATTTTTAAATATTTTAGTGTAAACCAGAATATAAAGTTCCTGGATTATATGTTGTTGACTCGATTGTGCGTCAATCTCGTCATCAATTCTCTCCAGAAAAGGATGTGTTTGCACCAAGGTTTGCTCGTAACATTCAATCAACATTTGCCCAATTATTTAATTGTCCTCCCGATGATAAGGTATTTTTTTTTTCTCTTTCACTTAAATTTTTAAAATAAATTTATTACAACCTACTTCTGAAAAATGTATTAATACTTTATATTATACTTAGGGTAAAATTGTTAGAGTATTGAACCTATGGCAGAAAAACCAAGTGTTTACACCAGATGTGATCCAGCCTCTATTGGATATGGCATCTCGAGTTGGAACTGATCAACCATTACAGCCCACAAATGGTGTGCAGTTGAAAACACCTCCGACAACTCAGAACCTTCCTAGAACACCAAGTAAGTTTATATTTCAAATTAGTTTTGGTTTGTATCCCAAGCATCAGTTTAGATAAACATGTTTTCACAAACTTTTCTTCTTGACTCATTCTTTCAGGTTCCCGATAAACTTCATAAAAACTCTCTTTAAACTTTCCATAGAATTTTTCCTTTAAGTAAAGCATTAGTTTTTGGAAGTAATATCAGTTGTTAATTTTGAAGACGAATGGCACCTCAAATTTCAAAGAACTTTTAAGCTATTATATTTCGATCTGTTTTGTCTAAAAATATCGAAACCTGTTAAGAATATTGTTACTGTAAATTTAATGATTGAATGTAAAACATTTATTAGCAAGTTTGTTCATTACTTTTTACTTTCAGTTACCTATGTATGTAATATATAGTAAGGAAAAGTATTGCTATCGTGAAAATTTTCAAATTTGAGTTTTCAACAGAAATATATATTTTGAGGTCCCCTGATTCCAAATATCCAAGTCCTGCAAATTTGTGTGTGCGTGCAGTCTAACTCAAAAATCAAAATTTTTACTGAACTGAAATTGCATATTGAAGGTTTTTACATGTCTGGGATGTTACAGCAACGTTTTTGTCAAAATCTGCTAACCAGAAGTGGCACTTTTTAGAATCGATTAAACACATTTTTAAGATTTTCTCAAAAACGGCTCTAACGATTTTGATTAAACTCAGTGTATGAATGTATAATTTAGTGGTCTTTAATATCATTTAGATCTTGTCTCTAAAGTAATTTTAATATACTTTATTAACATAAAATTAACTCTCTTTTATTAACATTAACTATAAAAATGAATAAATATGAAGTTTGAAAGAATATGATAATTGGAAACTAGAGAAAAATGCTTATCCAGGTTGAAAATGAATCTTCGGAAATAATAGTGAGAAGGTATACGTATAATATATCATTGGAAAGAGGAGAATTTTAGAAAAAACAATATCTAATATAGAAAGTAATGGAGAGTGAAGAAAAAATATATAAATAAAAATTTCTGAAGATTATTACTATTTAACTGATCACGTGTCTTCAAGGAAATTAAATGAAATTCACTAACTAATTGTGAGCTTTTAAAAGTTTAAAAAAAGTATTTAAAATCCACCTTATATGAAAGAAGTGAAATATAAAGATATTTCATGGATGTATAAAGCATATGTTTATAATCTTAAATACCTTTACTGTAGTTTAATAATTCTAGATCTGATATTATATTTAAATAATTAGGTATCAACGTCCGTTTATTCTGAAAAATAGTCACGTAATCTTTCAGAAAATTAAATTAGTTAGTGCATAATTTGATGAATTTTCCCTTTGTGAAATCCCAACATCATCCACTTAAAATTATTGTGACAACTTTTGATCTATCTATGGTAAGCAATGAAAATCTCTTAATTTAATTTTAGTATATTTCACAACGAAAATAACGTTTAATTACTAATAATTGCACTATCCATAATCATTTATAGGTTATATATAGATACATAGATATATAGCTCAGAGACTGTAGTTATGTGGTTTACAAAAACAGATTTAGTAACAAGGTTTTCATTGCCTACCATTGATATAATTAATAGGCTATTTTGCATTATAATGGTCTCATGATATACTTTCAAACCTCTCTAGGCATATATGAGCCTTTTGATTGACAGAATGACTAACCCCAATTTCAACCTTCTTTATTATTAATTTTAGTGATGTTTCTAGCGGCAATATTGATACCTTTATTCACAGTCCTATATTGCAATCACCTACTATGGAATCAACATACTCACTGTCTCAATAGATAACTTTTTCAACTAAAAATAACATTACTCAAAAATGTTGAAATTGGAGTTAGTCATTCTGTCAACTGAAAGGCTCAGAGACCGATTTTGTGCTGTTTATAAAAGTAAATGGAGTAACTAGATTTTTATTGCCTACCGTCGATATAATAGACTTTTTGTAATTTTATTGGTCTTAATTATTTGTTATCTGTAAGCTTTAAGCTTTAGCTCTGTTTAAAATGCACTTCAAAAATTTTATAATAGCACAGCATTTCCAGAAAATAATCTTTCTCTTAAAAAGCTTTCACAAATAAATTATCATTTATAAGACAAGATTTTTTTTTTATTACAAGCACTGATCTGCAGGATTTGGTGAAGGTCTCAATGTGGCCCGTTTTCATTCCATGCAATTTCAATACAACAGTTTATTTTTTAGTTAACAATAAATTGAAATATGAAAAAAAAATCCTTTATTACATATTCGTTACTATCCCATTGTATTGATTTTTTATCTTAAGTAGATTCTATTATACTTTTTTTAAAGTAAATATTTATTAATTTTTAATATTGTTCTCTATTAAATTCTAATGTGTATATCTCAATCATTGCAGGTTCAAAACCTTCACCAGTTAAAGATCCTGCATGGTTGTCAGGAAATCTTGATACAAGCAATGTCAGTTCACAGTTGGCAATTACACCAGTTCCTCAGGTTAAACCAGTATGTATTTTTTATATTTATTAGTTTCTCTTGTTTGTTTTTTTATATTATTATTTTTAAAGGGGTAATAAGAGGTCTTTTATGATTAATGAGAGCTAATTTGATAAGCCGTTATTGTGGAATTTTAAAATAATCAACTGATAGTTCTGATAAAATTTTGTTTTAAATTAATTGTATTAATTCCTTTAGCCTTCTAATTCCGGGGCGATAGATCCAAACATTATGCTACAATTACAAAACCTTCAGAGCTTGCTTTTGGAGAAACAATCTGATGCTGCTCAGTACAAAAAGGAAGAGGTATCATATATTTTTAATTTCTCAAGCTAGTTAAACTAAAATGGTCAAGTTAGGATTTGGGGGTGTTTTGCTTATATATATTGTGTAATGTATTCCAGTTATTAACCTGTTATATGTCAGTTAGACTAAACATTTAATGTAAGTGTTGTTGTCGTTATTTATAATGTCCTTGAAATGTTATTTATTTTATATTTGAAAAATAAAAATAACTTTTCTAACATGCTATATTTTAAATACAAATTATTATCTATATTTCTTTAATAAAATGTTATCTTTTTATATAAAAATCTTAAATTCCAGGTTTACGTGCTGATTTAATTTTTCAAGGCTTCATAAATTTCATCTTTCCTAGCTTAAAAAAAATGAAGTAGCATAGTTTATTAGATTAAAGAAGATAAATCTCATATTTCATTTTTATTTTATTATTATAAAAGTAATATTTTAATCTTCAACAGTCTTTTCATTTATTAGCCTAGAATTATTTTTTTAACTGTGACGCTGAGTCGTCTTTTGTGAGTCAGACCTAACCTATCGCCTGTATCTCTACTTTTTTGTTTACGAGTGTTTACATTTTTTTTTCTTTCTTCTATTTCATGATATTAATAATCAAGATATACATGAATGGTCTTCTGTTTCTCCTTTGAGATTTCTACCACTCAAATCAATCCGAATATTAGAGTAAAACTTATTCTGAAATTATGAGGTTTAGCTTGATTTTATAGGTCATCCCTTATTTCTACTAAAAATGAACTATCACATTTGTAATTTTTATTTATAGATATAGGTTACCTAAATTAATTTTTTTTTATTACCACTTAGGTAAAATTTGATAAAAAGCTGCTTGACTTTGATTATGATGAAGATGATGAAGAACCATCAGTGCCACAGCCCTCATCACAGCCTCAACAGCCTCTCCCAAGCATTGATTCTTTACAAACGTTAGTATTTTAACTATTGTTACAGTGAAAATTTTTTATATTAAATGTGAGTGAGCACCAAATTCATTCTATGTGTGCGGAATTTGATTTGTTTAAAATCGGTTAAGAATTTCAAACTTATTGAAATCAGTTAACAATATGTGAAAGATTATAAATCTTTTTGTTCGACATACACTTTCCATTTTAACTAAATTTCTTTGTTTATTCAAGATTAACTGTCTGCTATGTAGACATGATAAAAGAAATATAAGAAAAAATATTTTCATGATTCATTATTTTTTTGTTTAAACATTGTGGTATGCATTTTTCAGCATCGTGGAGTAATAAATAGATGATAGGTTATTATATTATTATCTAATGTGGTAAACATTTAAGTTCTAAAATGTTTTATTTATTTTGGGAGTTTTTATTTGAATCTACTTGTACCGCAGTCGATTGTTATCAGTAATATGTGTGCTTATATTAGGCAAGTATGTTAGGACTGCATGATAATACTCAGTTATAAAATAGGTTAGAATATGACCTATGGAGATTGTCTTTTATTTTGTGGTAATCCTACAGAATAAATCACAAGCTTTCCAATATGGTATTGTTAACTGTAGGATAATGATCTCTCTGTGCCCTAGTCGGAGTAAATAATGACATCAAACCAAATAAAATGGCAAACCAGTAATAGGTCAATTATTTCCAACACTACTTTATACATTGAAAGAAATACAAGTTTTTTAATCATGGTCTTTCTTCTTTTTATAAGATTATTATTTCAAGTGAGTTTTTCAAAAATTCTCTTAAAATTATTAAAACTAAAATAGTTTGATAATTGTAAATTATAAATAAAAATATCACATATAAATTTTAATTTTTAATCTTATTTAATGCATTTTTTGCTAATCTGTTTTAATATTATGTAATTTAATAGATTTTTATAATTTTCAAATTTGGAAGGAAAAAATATATATTTTAATTGGATTACACTTGTACCATGTTCTTTGGATATTCTAAACTCATCAGTATTCCATCTGATGTCTCTGACCATTGAGCAAGTATAAGCTTTTTTTACAATGATTTTGGGTTTTTCAGGCAAAAAAATCTCTTAGTGTTACTTAAAAACAATTAATATTTGGTTCTCTTCTTAACCTTTCATCCTGTAAAGCAATTATTTCAATTTATTAAAAAATAATAGTCAAAATAGTTAATTTTTTTATTTGTGGATTATATAAAATTATACTTATTCATCTTTGATAATTTTTAATTTATGTTTTGTATTGATTTATCATATATTTTCTGATTACAATTAACAGTTTTAGACATTATTTCTGCTCCCCTATTGCATAATATTAAAGTTTTCCTTAAAAATTAGTAGCAATACTTATTTTATGTATTCTGTTATTGGTGACATGTTCAAATCCATATTTAGAGAAACCTGATATATTTAGTTGTCTATCGATTTTCCTAAAGTGTATGGCTAGGTGGCGATGATGGTTTTTTGAACTACCTGGATTCGACTTCAACAAAGCTGGTATTGAGTATAGATTTACAAGTATTTTATTTAAATATTTAAAGTATTGATAATTATAACAACAGTTTTTTTTTCCTAACTTTATTGATAAATTTTAACATTCCTGATTCACATCTAAATAACTATTTGATATTAGACTCTGAGAAATATAATGGTTAATTTTCAATGACTGTTCATATTATAGTCAGTTTTGTGTTAGTAATTTTATGATTAAATAGGCTTAATATTTGCTAAAACATTGAATTCTGGAGTTATCATTCCAACGGCTATAATAAAATGAAGATTGAAGAATAAAAATAGTATTGGTTATATCTCTGGTCTCTGGTTTAATTAGTTAAATCGACTTATCATCAAATTGCATAAAGTCTATCATTGTTTAACTCTTGGGCGCTTTTACGCCATTAGTAAAATTCGGTAACTCTACACCTCCATAGTTTTTTTTTTTAATTATTATTATTATTATTATTACAATGTGAATTTTTTAGTATCTCATGAGATACATTCAAATTTTGACAAGTGTAGTGAACTTATTTTCTCAGTTATGGCCAGAGACCGTAGATATCAGCCATTTTTCTTATTTCGTATCATAATGATGTTGATTTGAAGATGATATGTCTTCATATTACAACAATAATTAATTAGTTAATTAAAATATGGTCCTTCTACACTTGTGTTTTAATGAGTTTGTAATACTATTACTTTTAATTAAATAATTATCACATTTTTGTTTAAATTTTTACTTGCTGTTATAAATTATTCCACCAAATTTCTCCTTTAATTTTTGACAATTTAGTTTTTGCATTATCAACTTTCAATCTTTCTAAAAATATTTTTAATTGAGGATGAATATTATTCTTAGAGATTTTAAGTTACGTATCAAGATTTGCAAAGAAATTAATTGAAATTGAAAACAGAAAAAAAAATTAAATTAACTGTTAAGTGACTGAGTAGATCTTATTTTAGTAAATAATTTTTTTTTTTAACTCGCATTATAATGGTTATGTTGCATTACGAATTTCATGACCAAGCATATGCATTTATAAGTTATAAGTTAACATCATAAATTTTAACATTTAAAAAGTTTATTTTGAAAAACTGTTATCAATTATTAAGAAATATAAATTCTTACTAGTAATAATTTTAGTTTGTCATTCTTTAAGTACTAATTTTCATTAAAAAAATTTATAGTAAAAAATTAACTTTTTTAGTTTAATTTTTATTTGCAATTGTTCTTGTTTTTTTAAAGAAAATTTCTTAATAGCTTCATAAGTAAAAGTAGTAAATTATTATATATTTTTCATTCTTTCCAGTATTACTTATCTAACCTTTCTTAAATTTAAATCTAAAATTAAAATCCAGCCTTTCTTCTTTTAAATTGTTACTAGTATTAACTTTAGTTTGTCTTTTTTTAAGTAACAATTAAATTATCTTTTGGGCAAAAAATTAAGTATTGTTTTTTTTGTTTTGTTTTTTTAATGATTGTTCTTGTTTTTGAAATATAACCCACTTTATAACTTTTAAAGTCAAAGTATTAAATTTTATATTTTTTAAATTTTGTCTTATATTACTTATCTATCCAAATTGAACAAAAAAATTTCTTAAATTATTCTAAGCATTTATCCCACTGCATATATTTGAAAACATCAATTGATTCTATAAAATTATTTTATGATCTATATAGTTTTTACATTCAATCTTAAATTATTATTATTTTTTTAGTAACGTTACCTTAAAACATCTTCTATATCTTACTAGTTTTCACATTTTTAATTTGATTAAATATTATTTCATTGATTTATTTTATTAAAATTATGAAAAGAGGGGGTTAAATGCGGAATAATCGAATAGGTCATGTAAAAATAATAAGGTAAGGTAAATAATGAATCCAGCTCAGTTTGAATCTCCATCTCCAACTGAAGCATTTCCTGTTCCGGCTTTTTGTTCTAAGGTTGGTTTTGATAGATATAAGATTTTTTATTTTATTTTTTCTATTTGGCATTCTTTCCAAGTTGGAAAGACTCCTTAAATATTATTTTAGACTAATTGAATGCTATGCAAGCTATATTAACTACCACTTGTTAAAATAATAATTTTAATTCGTAGATTTTAGACAAAATAATATATAAATGTTCATCATTCGATGAAAGTTGGAACCACACATTTACTTTTTTTAAACTGTTAAATCTTAACTTGTAATTATTATTTTTATTCCCTTTAATTTAGGAGAATAATTATAATAGTTAACGACATTTGCGATGACAATAATTTTTATAAATGTTTAAGTTCTAAATATTTTTAGATATTAGATATAAAAACTACTAGCTTTATTTTGTTTCAGCCCTACAAGAAATGTTGAAGAAGATATTATTGAAGATTTGTTATTCGTGACTTGGATGATAGAGTTGAAACCCACCAATTCCAAATTATACAAACATCTCTCAGCCTCACACTAAAAATGATAAAAGTTTTATTGTAGAAGTTGTCCAGGGTGGCAGTCAAAGTAGAAATATTATTTCGACTGACAAGCTGATCATCTTCTCCTATATTACTACGTCTAACTAGTTGACCAAGTGCATACAATTTTATTTTAGATTTTGTTACCTTTAATCTGCCTTTATTTTTATTTTTTCAATATGTCTAAGTAAGATGGAGATGGTGTGGTGTCATTCTATCCGATTATGTATTATTATTATTATTATTATTAGAATATTTTTTGGTTTTCTTGACGTGGCTATAAAAAAAAAAAAAGTTTGTATTTATTTATCTAATGTCTACTCTTAGCATTTTTCTCATTTAAAAAAAAAAATGAATTACTACTGGAATTCAATATTTACTTTTTTTACTATAAACTTTCCTGCATCGGTTCATGCGATTCTCACATTTGTCAAAGAATTCCTTTAAGCCACTTAATATTTAAAAGTAGGATCATGGTAATTTTTTAAATACATTTTGCACTGTCTTAAATCTATCTGGTTTCTTTAGTGGTAATCTGAATTTGGGGTATAAGAAAAACTAACATGGTGGTGTTCTTGTTGTGATGGTAGATGTTCTTAAACAGGGATTTCACCAAAAACCTTTTAAGAGTGGTGTTAGCCAGAGCACTGTCTTATTAGTGTAAATGTATCCAAACAGAATTCAGTCAATTTTTATATTCTTCATGATGACTGGACTAGGATCTCAATGTTTTAAAAACTTAAGGTTTTTTCTGTTTTTGAATTGAAAGGCCGTTCTGCTTATAGTAATCGCATATATCAATACACTTTCCATAAAGAATATGCTCATTTGGTGTATTTTATCAATTTTATAATTATATGATGATTCAAGATACTAAACATTTACCTAATGAATGATTTATTGTTGGGGCAATAAAATTTCACTTTGCACCTTTACTATTTTATCCTAATGCTCTCTCCATTTGCCCGTAGAATAGTCTTTATTTCCAGTTGTTTTTTTTTTTTTTTATATAGCCACAATGTATGTTGAATTCTTAATAATACTGTCTCTGATTAGATAATTGATGTAAAAATCATAATTATTTCTAAGTAATGTAAACATCTTGTTAAATTTGATTATACCTACTGTGATTCACACATTTTTTTAATGCATTTGTTTTAAGGGTATATAGTTTTCAAAGCTATATTGCTTAAATTTATTTATTATTGTGTTGATTTAGTATCAAATTTGTTTCATCGAAGCATGAATAGTCCGTGGTATAGACCCCTTTTTATTGAATTATTAACATCCTCTTAAAACTTCGTAAATAGTTTCATCTCATCATAACCTACAACTATTTTATTTACAAAAACTCTTGTAATTGGGGCCTTTTCAATTTGGTGGGGGCCAAACTTTGTCTATTAAATTAGGTATTAACAACTCAGAAATACCCATTTGCTTTCTACTTGGATCGTAAGATAATTAGATAACAAAATCCAGAAAAAAAGTGGTCTTCAAAAATATTGAACCGTTTGGCGTGACCTACACCCCAAATATTCAAAATAACCAAATTATATAGGACAAACTGTCCAATGTTTTTGTAGGCCACCTTTTTTATTGATTTTGTGATCAAATTATCTTACGATCAAAGTAGAAAGCCAAATGGGTATTTATGAGTTGTTAATACCTATTGAAATAGACAAAGTTTGTCCCCATCCAGATTGAAAACGCCCCAATTCCAAGAGTTTTCATAAATAAAATAGTTATAGGTTACGATGAGATGAATCTATTTATAAAGATTCAGGAAAATGTTAATAATTCGATAAAAAGGGGTCTGTAACACGGACTAGAAGTTTTTATTTGTTGTTTTTTTTTTTATTGTTTTAAGAACTGTAAAAACACAAGTAACATATCAGTTTATTTTATGACTAATTTAGGTTTTTATTTTTTTAGTTTTGTTATGTATTCATATTCAACATGTTATGAATCTAAAATATAGATGTTATTAATATTTTAAATCTGTGACATATTTCTCTTGAAAAATTAATGATTAATTAATTACTTTTGAAATAGCTTGCAAAATAAAGGATGGCCGTTTTTACTCCAATTCACCTTACGCATTCATTCATGGATTTAGTGATTGATATAATTATATGATAACACATATAATAAATTCAACCTACACGTTTTGGCTACAATAGCTTAATAACCTGCCCTGGAATAGAATCACTCTAATTAGAAGTGACGCAATACATATTGAAAAGAAATATTGAATTATTTCTTTTTAAACTTGATATTGTGTACAAATTTTTTATGTATACGTTTATTCTTTTAAATTTGACTAAAACTCTCTCTTCCCCCCTTCCCCCAATTTTTGTTGATTTTGAAATGTACTATTTCTATCCCTTTGAAACATTTCTGCTAGGCTTGGCTAGTTTTATCTTAATCTCATTATTGTTTTGTTTATTGCTATTACTCGTTCTTTTATATTGAGAAATAAATAATGTAGATAGGATAGTTAATCCATGATCTATATTGTGATATTTAGAATTGAATATTTGAAGATGTTTCTTTAGAATAATAATGATAACCCTTTTTAAACATATTGTGGTCTTTAATTTATGTGTTTTAATATAAGTATCTTTATTGACTAGAAGCCCTCTGCTTATCTCCTTTCTTCTGAATTACTTTTACTTTCTTGTTGTAATCTTCACAAATTTTCATTACTATTTAAAATGGGTGCTTGACTTCCATATCAGAAGGATTTTTCGCATTTTATGTTAGGTTTTTTCTTTGCTATTTTTTTTTTTTTTTTTAAGATTTTCATTGTTTTTCATCAACTATGTTCGTTTGTTTCTTAATTTTTGATTCTTAAAACAAGTTAACGATTTTTAAGTTCATAACTAATCAAAATTGGTTATAGGATTAATATTATAGTTCATATGCTTTTATGAGGAACAGTTAATTGACATACTTTAAATAGCAAAATATTGAAATAAAGAATCATTCCTATTTGATATATTTTAGTTTGCTATTTTCTTCTCCCCCTTTTTTTTTTTTTTAAATGGTTTTTAATATAATTTTGGGTGTATTTTTGTTGCATTGATAGTTCATACAGTTTTATATTTTAAGTCGGATTATTTATAAACAAAGCATTATTTAATCAATTAATATATGTTAATTTAAAGGTTTTCTGTTTTCTAATATGTTATAGAATTCTGTCTAACCCTGAGGTGCTACGACATTTGCAAACCCTTCAACAGCAGATGTCTAATCGTAAACAAGAACCAACCCAAGAAGAAATTGAAGATAAAATGAGGAGGTTGCAAGAAATGAGGCATCAAGAAGAAGAATTTGACAAACATCTGGCACAAACTTTACCTGTTAGTCAAACTGCCGTTAATTTTTCATCGCAAATAATATCATCGGTGTGTGGTTCCAAAAACTATTTGTATTTTGTTTGTTTTTGTCAATAATATTATTTTTAATGTTTATATAGTTTTAAGGCCTTGCATAGCATTCATAACAAAACATGAGTTTAGAATAAGATTGTGTCAATTGGTTAATGTAGTTTTCAATATTTTGCATATTGATATTTTACATGAATTTTTACTAGTTAGTCGTGATTATAATTTAATGATTATTTCATTCAATAAAATAATAATACTTAAAATTGATTTTAAAAAATTAAAAAAAGAGTTCTAAGTAAATAATTTCATTATCTAATGATAGTGATGTAGAAATAGGCCACTTATTTGCTGGACCAATAAACCTCTATTTTCAAGATTTTTTAAAATTATAACAATCATCACCTATAATAAATGAAATTATTAAAATAAAGCACTTCTATCCTAACTTATCCAAGTACCAAAAAACAAATTTATGGGAAAATAAATTTTTAAAAAAATTTCAATAACTCGAGTCAAACAAAATAAAACAAAAAAAAACAAGCATATTTTATCAGATGCATTTGTATTCTTTCTAACAATATACAGATTAGAAGATAACTGAGGGAAATCGGTTGTTACTTATTAGAAAACTAATTGTTACTTCTAGCATGATTAATGTCTTCCTTACAAACAAGGAATTTTTTTTGGTGGGGGGTGAATTTAATTAAAGAATGCTCTGCATTAGCAATTGTTTCTAGATCACTTTGCATGAAAAAACAATGTTGAAATACTCAGCACTTAGATCACATTGTCTGGAAACTCTTTAAATGTTCTTAGATAAATTTTATTTAAATAAAAATACATCTGTTGATTTCTGTAAATTTTTTTTTTTTTTTTTATTATGAAGATAAAATTGGAATGATCATTTATTATATTTTCCTTGATTAGCTCTTCTAACATTTAAAGTTTTATGTTTTACAATGGTGGAAAGTTAGTTGGCTCTAGATAATATGGTAGGGAAGTTGGTTGGGGATTGCAGTTATAGAGCAAATGTAAAATGTTTATTTTATTTTTTCTCAGTGACTGCTAAATAAAAAAATTTTGCTTTTTTTCTGTGACTGCGATCCTCAACAGTTAGTGTTTTACATTTTGTATGTTAGATTTGTTGAGAATCATTTGGGGTTTTTCTCAGATTGATACAGGTTATCCTAACTGCTTTGCATATTGCATTTTTATTCTCAACTTCATGGAATTATTTATTGTTCTCACCTGAATCAGTTCATGGCTCTATTTCTGGTTTGAAAGCAACCAGCTTTCTAAACATATCTTTATACTGTCATTCTGATTTTACCAATCACTGCCTATCCTATATTATTTCAACAATTGCATATATCATAAATGGGGAGTCTGCGGTCTCCAAACGTTTTTGTGTGATACTTATTAATCTACCACTATAATTAATTAATATTTAACTATTCAGGTCCCAAAGATTTAATAATTAATAGAATTAGTTAAATATATGCATGCGTATGTGTACATTTAGTGATAAATAAAAATAGCAACAGTAAAATACAAAACATTGTTGCAGCCTCCATTAGTACTGCCTAACCTTACTGTGGTCTTCAATGATAAAAAGGTTGTTCACTTGTTAAATAGATGAGTTTGTTGTATTATAATTTTTTTTTTTATATATACTTACTATAAAACAAAATAAACATTAGAAACTTCAAATTTGCGTTCAGTATAACAAAATCATCTTCAGAAATTGTTTAATTTACATTTTATTTTACAATTTTTTTCTTAAACCGAAAATTGTAAAACATGTTTTTTGTACCTCAAAATTTAAGGCATATCTGCAGAAAAATGGCTATTCATGAACTGCCTACCTACCGTGTCTTAAGTGTGCCTTTTGAGAATGATGGATAAGGATTTTATTCTCCTTCAACTAAAAGAGCAACTTATTTATTCTTAGTTAAAAAACTGGCTGTTTGTCTTTTTTTTTTCTATTGAATAGAGATCCGTTTATGATAAAGCTTTTGTTTTCTATTAAATAGATCCGTTTATGATAAAGCTGAAGTTTACCATTTGTTATTCTTTTTAGTAACATTAGATATTGTAATTAGACCACTGGAATCGCATTAGGCTTAATGATCACTGATAAAACCACTACTTGGTAAATCTTCTAGATTTTCATTAAAAAGATCATTTGGAAGTATACTTAACTCTAATTATGCTTAGCAAAAAGTTGACAGTTGTAATCAATCTAGAGCTCTAATAATTCCCATAGTAATATATTAATCGATAGGATGAACAACTTTGCCAAGAAACAGTTCCTTGGCTCTCCCAAAAAGATAAAATAGATTGTATAAAAATTGTTATAATAGAAACTCCATTATAAATTGTGAAATATAATTTCTTTTTATGAAATTATATGTTCATAATTACTCACAAGATCATTGAAAAAGTCATTTGTAATTGGTATAAAATGATTTTTTTAAATTATGTAACTTAAATATCTTACATTTAAATAAAACTTTTTAAAATAGTTATAAAAAAATTTAAAATTGTTTTGCTACGCCTTAAAAATCACTAATCTATGATAAAAGTCTTGAATATCTTATAATAATGAAGTAGCTCTATTAATAGAAAATTAATTACTCAGGAAAATATTTGCACTAAGTTGTCAATTCACAATACTTTATACTTCAGTGTTTTTTTTATTAGTTTTAGCCTGGATTTTATATATTCAGCTGTAATTCATTCATAAATTATAGGTAATTTTGATGGTATGGTATATTCTATGTAATCATTGAAAAGAAGTAGTCGTTAACCAAATAATTTATTGTTTTGTTCAATCGCCCTGTGAAGGATAACAGTATAGGAAATGTATACTGCATAAATGTACAGAAAAGGATAACAGTGGAGAAAATGTTGAATCCATAATGATGATAAGATTGAATTCAGAAATCTGAAAATTACATTGGTTAGGAACCATATTTGTCAGAGAAAAATATTATCCATTCATTTGATTATTAGCATGGCTGCAACTGTTTTAATAGACCAAAGAGTTGTCCAATAGATTGCCTTTGTTGAAATAGGTCCTAGTAAAAATAAAAAAAGTAGTTAACTTAAGAATTTTTATGTAATAATAGAAAAATACATACCATTCTTTGTTCCTTTTAATTAATGTATAAAATTATCCAATATTTATATTTTTTTATTAGACCAATGAAACTCTTAGTCGGAAATTTACTTTAAATTAACTCAGAAAATATCGTTATGAATGCTGAAGTTAAACATAAATATATAGTTAGTGGAACCACACATTATATTATAGTTTTAATTACTTCTAATTTAACTAATTCTGATTTAACATATATTAAAAATAATATTTTAATTAATTAAATTTTCTATTATTTATTAGAGCGCTCGACATTTTCCATAAGTTTTCACTGATTATATCATATGCTTAAATATATTATTATAACTTAAATTTTTAGTAGGAAATAGATTTTATTTTGTCATATTCTCAAATTCTGAGTTAGTTCCCTTTGAAATTGTAGTCTATAGAACTGAACCTACTTTTCTTCTGATTTGGAATAGTTACATATTACGGGCTCTCTGCTATATTAAAGTTTCTCCATAGCATGACTTCAAGGTTATTAAGTTCTCAATTTTTGTTAGTGGCCAGTTCTAAATAGTCATTGATTGGTAATTGAAATCTTATTTATTGAGAAATGTATAATAATATCTTTAGGCTATAATATTACTGTACACAAATAATTTTTGTTATGATTTCTACTACTAAACTACTCAGTCAGTGAAAAGTAGGATCTTCTATCTTTTCCAACACTTTCATCCATCAAAGTTTTAGGTTTCTATTTTTTTTTTTTTTTTTTTTTTTTTTTTTTTTTTTTTTTTCAATGAAATAATTCATCATTGCAACATGGTCTGCCCATCAAAGCCTACTGATCTTGACAATTCTTATATTAGGGCCATTACAAGCACGGAGTATACTATTATATCAGTGTGCCTTTTCCATGTTGAACCAGTTTTCACTGGACATAAATGAGTCCAAGAAATTTTCTTTCGTTTGTAAGTAGATTGATTGCTTTCATCAGATTTTGAGAGAGGCCCATATTTTTGATCTGTGTCTTATATAATATTATTTTTTGTTGTTCTTAATTTTGAGATAATTCTCCAATACTGGCAGTCGAAAGAAGCAACCTATTAGCTGGTAGGATTTGCTTCAAAATGTTATTACTTATGTTATTAACCAGTATTCTTTAATTGTGGCTTTATGTTACAGGATTTAAATTTAATTTTTACAAAAAAAGATATCTTCCTGTATATTCCATTTATTTTTCACTTTTGTGCAACCGGTTTCGGTCTTTTATCAAGCTAAGTAAAGTAATAAAATTAACAACATTAAAAACTTTTGTAAATAATAATAATAAAACCTAATTTAAAATCAAATCTTAATAAATTAATCAATAAAATTGGTAATCACCCAACTGATGGTGGTCCTCCTCTCCTGCTTGTCAAATGAGGACTATAAAATAAAAAATTATTAAGATTTGATTTTAAATTAGGTTTTATTATTATTTACAAAAGTTTTTATTGTTGTTGTTAATTTTATTATTTTACTTAGCCTGATGAAGGTCTGATAAAAGACTGAAACCAGTTGCGCAAAAGTGGAATAAACAGGAAGACGTCTTTTTTTGTAAAATTAACCAGTATTCTATTTGGCATAGGTACCTTAAGGTCTTTCATTCTTTATTACAGAGGCTTATGTTGGATGCTGTTATAAGCTAATCTAATATAAAAAAAATAGGTATTAAATAGGTGTATATATTTTTTAACTCATCTTTTTTAGCATTTGAATGGTTTGGAAAACAGCTATTTCTTATATCTTTCACTTAAACTAAACTGAAGCTTTTCTCACAGTCCTGGAAATGTAAAAAAATAATGATATGCTTGATTGTTGGTTAGCAATGATTTAAAAATCGATGAGAAATTTTTATTGTTAATTATTACAGAAATAACATTAGTTTCAAAAAGACCATTGCCAATAAGTTTTGATTTTTGTTTGATTTTTAAGTGATTGCACAAAATATTTCATTTTGATAAAAATTTTACATTGGTTCTTCTAGCATAAAGCTGCATATCTATTAGTCAGTTTAATTTTGATTTTACTTGAAATTATTGCTTTAATGAAATCTGTTCTACATTAAAATGTTTTGTTTTAGAATCTTCCTTTTGCTGCTGAATGCGACTTCAAGCCAACAGTTATGGAAAATGCAACAGATGCTTTATTGTCTCAGGCACCACCACCTGTTGCTCCTCCTCAACAATTATCATCATCAATGCCTGCGTACACTACACCTTCCTCTGCCCATCCGTTCCATGGGACACTACATGATAAAGATATTTCAACCTTAGATTATGATGAAAGAAGCCTTCAGCCTCCAGCAAGGTGTTAAACTTATCTAGTGGATTGTAATTTATTTAATATTAACTGTTAGTTTGTTAACTTCATTTGTTGAAAATGAGAATTTTACTAAATATGTTGGTTTATATCTTTTGAGAAATTATTTTTCTCTATTTTTATTGGCATCAATCAGTAATACAATAGTCTATGCCTCTTGATTATTATAATGTATTACATTCCTTTGAAGAACATGTCGACTGATATAAAAAGTGGGCTATTGATTTATAAAAATTAATAATCAAATTAAATGCAGTATATCTTTGTTGATATTCAAGAAGAATATCAATATAATTTCAGTTGTAATAAAGATTTTTTTTTCCATAAGTTTTGATTATACTTTAATCATGTTATATGTTATAATTACCTTTAAAATGTACCCGTAATTTAAAACAAGCATTACACTTTGAATTTTGTTTCTCTTGGTCAGTAATTTTATTGTCAAACTTCATTAGAAACCATTTTAACTTTAAATTGTTCATTAAAGAAAGTTAACATTAATTATTAAGTTGGGGTTAGTATTATAATTTATATTTTCATAAACAATGATTTTGTTTCAAGGGTTGATGTTGAAGTCATTGATCTCCTTCGAAACGATTCTCCACCTAGAAGAAGCCCACCTCGAAGTAATCGTGATAGCAGAAGACGCCGGAGGTCCAGATCCAGAAACCGACATTCTAGATCTAGATCTCGTTCAAGAAGGCGAGCCAGATCAACATCAGAAGATCGAGAGACTGAGAGGAGAAGAAAAAGGGGACTCCCACCCATTAAAAAGAACCATCTTGCAGGTTAGCTTTAGATTAATTTTTCTTTTTTTAAATTTCCTGAAGAATAAATGTACCAATTTTTTTAAACCTTATTTATTTCAATATTTGTGCATTAAAATAATCTTGTTATTATTTACCATGCACATACAATGATATTAAAAAATAATCGATATTGCTTATTGGTTTTGCTGTGTTCTCAACATAAATTTTATGGTTATTACTTTTAAACACAACATATTATCTATTAAAAATGCTGTTTGCATGCATCTTAACTATTTAAATGTGTCTTAGTATATCAAAAAGTATCATTTAAAGTAGTTTCTTTGAGTGCAATTTATTGGTAATAAAATAACAGTGACAGACAAAGTTCCAAGTAACTATTGCATTACTTAATATGTATCTTTTAAATCAAAGTTTGTAGTATATATAATATGGCATATTATATATAATATAGCATATGGCAGTTTAGTTTTGTGTAAAATGACAAGAAAAGATATACTATTGTATTTGAAATTTTCTAGTATATTATAATTATCAACCGAAGTGTATAAGTTTATTGGATCATAATATTTTTTAAGCATTTAAGACAATAATTAGATTAAAAAAATTGTATGTACTTTTTCTCCTAAAAAAGTGTTAAATCAATTTTATATATATTTTTTTAAATCATTTTAATAGTGTGCAGTACAACTCTCTGGATTGGTCATTTATCGAAACTGGTTACCGAAGAAGAATTATCAAATACATTTGGCAATTATGGTGAGATTGTCTCCATCAACCTAATTCCACCTAGAGGTTGTGCTTTTGTATGCATGAATCGAAGGCAAGATGCTGATAAGGCCTTAAGAAATTTGAAGCATGTTAAACTTCATTCTAAAGCTATAACCGTAAGTTCAGTTATGTTTATAAATTGTGTGCTTAGTTATTATGTTATATGTTTCATTTATATTATTTTTTTTTTTTTTTCTGTTCTCATTACTGACCATATAGATCTTTTGCGCCTTAACAAGTCTGCTCCATCTCTGTCTGTCTTGGGCTATTTCTTTCCATTTATCTGCACGCAGCTCTGTTGCATCTTTGCTGATTCTATCCATCCATCTGCTTTTTGGCCTGCCACGTGGTCTTTTCCCGTTGATTAAGGCATTCATTGTTATGTAGAGGCTTCCAGATGGATTTCTACGAGCTACATGCCCGCCCATCTTAACCTCCGTGCCTTCATATCACGGGATATTGATTGACTAGTTTCTGTAAGCAGTTCCTTATTGGTCTTTCTTCTCCATGTGTTAGTGCACTGATCCCAGATCGCTCCGGTTATCTTGCTGAGGATTTTCCTCTCAAATCTTTCAGCACTTTTTTCTAGGGTGCTAGATTCTGTTATTGGGATGAAATTTTAAGCTTATTATCATATATTTTGTTTTTTCTTCATTTACTTATCAGTCAATCTGATCTACCTCTTATCAGTGTTGTAGCGAGTTTCTCAAATGTCTTCTTGATTACTTCCAAGAATACCTATATCATCTGCGTATCCAAGGATTTCCATTTTCCTGTGATGCTCTTATCTTCTCCAGGGCTAAGTGGAACATCTGTGATAGTCCATCTTCCTGACGTAAGCCTGTTCGAACTTTAAAGGCTTCAGATACTTCTTGTATTAAGACTCTACATTTGGGGTCGTTTGTACTCACCTTTGTCAATCTCGCCAACTTACCAGGAATTTTTAGTTCAGTCATGATTTTCCAAAGACAGTTTTGTCCTCATAATCATAGGCTGCTTTGAAATTGACAAATAGATCGTGGACATCCTGAGCTACTTCCCATTGTTTTTCATTTATATAGTTTCTATATTTATATAACTATAATCATTTTATTCTAAAATCATTTTATATAGGTCTTAACAACATAATTTTGATTACTACATTGTAAACAATTTTTTCATTATTTGGTTTAAAATTATTAAATAATAAAATTACAGTATATACTATAATATCACAGGGAGGAAGAATTAAAACTTTATTACTGCTGAACTACAAAGTTATAAGTTTTCTTTAAGTAGTATTAAACATACCCTGTTCGTAAAGCAGAAATAAAAAGTTAGTACAAAGCTAACAAACTGAAGACACCGATCTATCATTCATTTTTTTATTTTATTACTTTTTTTATTTGGTTTAATTTAATCTTGGTAATGTCCCTAATGTATTTGATACAATTCATAATCTAAAGTTAACATGTTGGAAATTATAGTACACAGCTAATATGAAATAATATTTTTTAGTTTTATTTAACCCTTTCATACAAATCTCTTTGTATATCTTTCTTTGCTTATGTAATAAAATAATTAATATTTTTAAACATTCTAATACAACTAATACAAGTTAATAATTAAATATTAATTTTAAAATTTGAATTAATATTCTCATTTTATGTGTTTTTATTTTAGATTGCATGGGCTCCTGGAAAAGCCATGAAAGAAAAAGAGTGGAAAGACTATTGGGAAGTTGAAACGGGAACATCATATATACCTTGGAACAAACTATCACATGATACTGATTTCACTCTGCTTGAAGAAGGGGGAATGTTAGATGAGGAAACATTTCCTGATTGGTTAAAAAGTAATATTTTATGACTTACTAGTTTCTTAACATTCTTCATTCATGAATTTTTGATAAAAGTGAACATGCCTCTTGTCATTGTTTCATAAATACTCATTTAGAAGGTTGTTATTTACTTTTTAATTAATATTTTTTTATCGAGTTGCGTATCACTTTTTTGTAGTATATAATAATTTGTAATTTTTTAATTACTACGCAACTATGTAACTAACACATCACTCTATAAGTCTCCGATCTTACTAAGAAAAGCAATTTTTTTTAGAAATGTAATATTGATAGTTATGCCTTTCTCAAGATAGTCAATGAACAAAATTCTATGCCAGTCCCATAATACGAATGGCATAATCTTGCCAGCCGACTTTTGAGTTTTGGTCGCTTTGGATGACTTTCATTGGCTGATGATCTTTTTGATTCTGGCATGTAGTGGTGGATCCAGTCTCATACCGATGCAAGAAATCCTTTTTATTTCTCTTGATCAGCTCCAAACAGCGCTCTGAATTCTTGACGCGTTGTTGTTTTTTGTCCTGTGTGAGCAAACGCCGAACTTCGAAAGCAACTTGCGCATACCCAATTTTTCATGTAAAATTGTAAAGACACTATCTTCTAATATCTTCCAGGTGTCAGCTATATCATGCAACTTCATTTTACGGTCTTTTAAAACTATTTTGTAGATATTTTTTATGTTTTTCTGAACAGCTGTCGATTTTGGGCGACCAGAGCATTCAGCATCATCAGTGCTTGTACGACTGCATTACAAGTCAACAATAGTTGATTTTCCTGGTATTGAGTCTTCATCATACTTACCAAAGCCACTGTTTGGCTACAACAGTATTTTTCCCCATCAAAAAGCAGTGTTTAATCACCACACTAAATCCCTTTCTATCCATTGTCTTGAAAATTACAAATCTGGGGTCATTAAACGACTGTAACCTCTAAACTAACAGTCAGAATGCCATGAAATTTGGATAGGTGCTGTTTAAAGGTTAGTACTACCCGGAAATCACATGGGTCTTCAACAACGTTGCCATCAATATGTTAGACCGGGAACTTATTGAGTGATATGATATTTGATTCCCTAACCTTACAAGTTTCGTGTGAAACCTAAATATTAAGTCTACTTAATCTTAAATAACATAGACAAACTTCTAGAGCTCTGTGTGAGTGCCATTTCTACCACCTTTGAGTTACACTACTCCTATTCCATGATTAACTGTGGTAGGCATACCTGTTTAACGACAGATCGCCACCATTGGGTCTGGTGATGTGATTATATTTTATATAAAAATGAAATCAAATTATAATCATGTCCCTCGTCTTGTTTCATGATTGTGAAGTACAGTTTAAGGTTGGCAAAAAATATTTTTTATTGCTTTAAGCAACAACGTGAAGCTTGATCTAAATTGGTTATGCCATTTATCTATGAAAAGCAGACAAATGGCTCAAAATCATTTATGTCTGTGTAATAAAGGTAACATTTCAATGAAATTAGTTTTTCGATACACCAAAAAATTATCAGGCCTATTTATGTGTGTATATTCTCATAAAACTAAATTTTGTCCATCTGTTTATTGAAAGAAGTAGAGTAGCTCAGTAAGTTTATGTACTGGGCTGCTAAGCTCCAGATCCGGGATTCAAATCCAGCTGATGACAATTAATTTTTCATCAGCCTTGGATGAACCCTGGGATCGGGAGACCCTTCTGGGGCACACTCAACCTCTATAAAGTGGGTACTTTTAATTAAATAATTAATTAAGGAAGAAAGATGGTTGAGCGTAAACCTGGCCTAATCATCTCCCTGAATAACCATTGGCCTTAAAACAGTACTTCCTAACAAAGTACTGCACCCAAAACTCTTCATGGGTTGTAGGAGTACAGGTTATTAAAAGAAAAAAATACATGCTATTATTAATTACGGAGGAGTGCATTTAATTTTTTTACAATTATTTCATTTTCACTGCATGTTAAATCTGCTTTGTAGATCACAATCATCTCCAAGATAAAAACCTGTAGTACATTACTTCAATCAGAATATTACTTATTTATTATTTTATGATTTAGCTGATGCTGCTCTAAGAAGAAGAGGTGAAAGGAAAGACCGAAATGATGACTTCAAAAATTCACAGGACCCGAATTCTGAGATGATGCTGCAGTCTAAGAAAGATGATCACAAGAAACCGGATTCAGAATTAGATATACCCATGCCAGCAGGAAACTTACCTGGATTCATACCTCTCCCTGAGACAACCATGGCTCCTCCTCCAGTCTCTCAGCCTGCTACTCCAATGCCTCCTCCTCCATTAGGGTTGTTACCTCCGCCTTTTGCAATACCCCCACGTAAGATAGATTTTTTTTTTTTTTGAATTTTTGGTGAAAGCATTTTGTTATTGGTTTTAATGTAATATTAATTTTGTCATTTCAGAGAGGTTACCAGGGCTTTTGGGGCCTATGGGACCTCCAATGATGGGTCCAATGGGTAATGTACCACTTGGCGTTCCTCCTCCTCTTATGATGCCACCGCCCCCACAACAAATGGTTCCTAGAATGCCTGGACCTTTCAATCCTGGTCCTCCAGGTATGTTAATTTTTACTTAATTATAAATTGTATGCTTTATATATATTATTATGTTTTTCTAATACAATTGATTATAGTTGGTATGATGCCGATGCCACCTGGAGGGGATAAATCTAAACCACCACAAATGCCTGGTATGCCGCCTGACGGATTCACAGATCATATTGCTTCCATGTTTGGACTGCCTGTCAGTGCATTGACTGGTAAGATATTTATTTATTTGTATAATTTAATTTCATTAGATTATGGAGTATTCAATTAATGAAATAATGATTTTTGCTTTTCTGTTTTTTAACTTTCATGTTATAGTATACATATTTACTTGCAAAATAATTTGAATCTAATAATTAAGACATTCAAAACAATCACATTTTTTCTTGTTTCCGTCCCAGTAAAGTATAATCAATTATTATAATCAGAGTCGTGTCAATTAAGCATCTGATTCTCTCTCTTTATTTTATCGTAATATTTGGTTTATGTTTATTTATATACTTATTTTTTTAAAAATTATTTTGCATTTAGCAATGGGTCTAAAGAAATTTTAAATAATTTTTCTGTTAATTTTGTTATAAATAAACTGATTCTGTTTGAATAAAACAATAATAATTAGGAAATAACATAATTTTTCTGTTTTATTTATTTTTTTCTTTCCGATTTCATTATTTGAAAGGTTATTGATTTTGGGTGGTATGGTTTAGTTTCAATTTTATTGCTACTAATCTTTTTTCCCTTTTATTTTACTAATCTTTGTTTAAACAGACTTTTGTGCATCCATCAATCCATTCAGGACAAAAATATTGGGATTATGAAAATTTGTTTGTTTTCATACTAAGTTTATTATTGGATGTTTTTATTTGGTTGTAATTTTTCAGAAAATTACTAATTTAAAATTAAATGTCATTATCATTATATAATGTAGAGATGGTTGACCGTGATATAATATGGAGTTGGTCGGGGGGTGCGTTCATATAAATACAAAATTTTTGAAAAATAGTATTTTAATCGTTACGCCAACGTTTCGACCTATTTTGTCAGTCTTCTTCAGGACATGGTATCGGGCACTGCAGGAAGCAGTTGTCATTCCCGATATCACGAAAGTAAGTCGAAACGTCGGGGTAACAATAAAAATACCATTTTTTAAATTTAGTATTTATTTGATCGCACCCCCCGACCAACTCCTTCTCATTAACTTTTTATCTATAATAAGTAATAATATTCTCAATAATGCTTATTCTTATAATATTTCATAATAATACTTCGTTTTTTTATTTATTGTAGGTATTCCAATGTTTTTTATACGCCCTCCCCCATGGCCATTTTAATCATATAATGAACTTAAAGGTTGTGTATGTACTATACCAAAGAAGTATAATGTAGTAACGCTAAATGACCAGATAAATACACTCTTTCTGTGATTCATGTTTGTCATTTTTTTTGATAAATTTAACTAAATGGATACAATATAATTAAATAAGATACTTTAAAAAAAAATTAATCTTTATTATTAAAATATTTACATTGTGTAAACAAGAAGTACAATATTCAAAAAATTTTTGGATTGGAATATTATAGTGATAAAATAATTTTATGGTTTAAAACTTATCATAAATACTATTCATGTAATTAGGGCTATAGGAGATTTTTTCCCTTAATTATCTAGAGAAATTATTCTCTCATTACTTATAAGTTATAAAATCCAGATCTTATTATAATTTAGCTCTGCTACTTTGTAAAGTAAAGTTTCTTTTTTTTTCTAAATCTGGAATCCCTATTCTTACTTCCTAACAAAAAGACTTATCAAGGGTTTGTTCTATCTATTACAATCTCACACTTTGTTGAAAATTTTAAACTTGTTATTACGTCCCTTTTTGTTTTGTTGTGAACCTCCCATTAGTTCAGCTCTTATCACTCTTCTAACGATAAATTTATCAATATTGACAAATTAAAATTAACTATAGAGTGTACTTTCTGCTTACAGCTTCTTATTTATTTTATACTTCTGATAATGTCAGTGCAGAAATTATTATAGTGGCAGACCATATTGAGAAAGTATAAATAATCAAGATCGAAGCATTTTAAGTTAGTTTTATTATCCCCACATATATTATTACAGTAAGGCTATAGAAAGTCAAACCGCGTTTCTATGGCAATGCGGTCAACAGAATATTGCTATCCCTAACTCTATCATTACATCCCCATCCTCACATATATTATTGCAATAAGGCTCAAAATCGGTTTTGTGCCAAATATAAGCGCCTGGTCATGCTCAAACACCATGAATGGGTTACGGTTGGATTCAGAATTTCACAGGAGGTTAGCGAATCGCACTCTCCGCTTTTGTTTTTCTTTTTAAAATAAATATAGTTGATACAAACATTTTGCTAGGCTTCAATACTGGAACGGTGGTAAGTCTGTAAATCAATTTGGGACAAATTGGACTTTGAAGATTTTTATGCGTACAGCAAGACCTGATAATTCCTTCGGAACTATCTGGCCCTGCATTGTTAAGCCCAAAAGTTTAATATTTTTTAGATAATGCAAGGCATAGGGTTCGCATCCACACAACCTTACTTTAATTGTAGTATTGTCATTGAATACATGTCTCATTTCGTCGACTTGAGGTCACTGTGATCGAGAGAGAGGAAGAGTTTGTATTATTTATCAAAGGTGATTTTTGTCAAAAGATTAAATTCCCTTCAAAACGGAAAAAAAATCTTTGAAATCGGACAATCATTAGCGAAAATACAGCTTATTGAAATTTGTAAACATGTTGGTTCCAAACAATAATGAAATTTTGATTTTCTTTGTTAATTATATTTAGTGAGAAAATAACAATTGATTTCTCTATCTTATTATACATTGTGTTATTTTATTTTATTATCAATTTGTCATTTGATCACTGAACAATATACTGTGCGAATTTTTAATTTATTTAATTAAGTGCGAGTTATTATTTAATTTATAAAACCGAAGGATACATTAAGTGTAGTAAACAATGTCAATGTATTGAAATGTTGGAAATCAGAATACTGAATTTTAAAATAACAGGATCAAATTAACATTTAATTACTAATAAGAATCAAGACTTAAACAACCATAAGGCTATTAACATTCTATTACAACATCGCATTTTGAAACTAATTGATTTAGTTCTAAATTATTTTCTTTTAAAGCTTCACCAAGTTTCATTTAAATTGTGAAAAGTCGTTAAGAATGAACTGATGATCCCCTGGACCATTAGCGGATCCAGGATTTAATTTTGGGGGGGCTTCAGCTCGAAATATTTTTTTTCGTATACATATAACGATAATTAATTTGAAAAAAAAAATAAAGAAATTAATTACCTATATGAAATGGTGTTTAAGTGGTTCTTCAAGTCCTATTGAATATAATTACACCAACAAGAATACTTTAAGAGATAGTTTTTAATATTTTTTTCTGTAAAAAATGGTTACATTATACCATTTGGGGGGAGAGGGCTTCAGCCCAAAAGCTCCCTCCCCCGTAGATCCGCCTGTGCCCTGGACCAAGGATTCTTGTTAGAAAGCCAACTCCCCTTCTCCAGATTAGGCTCACACCGTGGGGTTGAGGCTTAATTTTCTTTTTTTGGAATCTCAGGTCTGAGATCAGTAAAATGTTACTCTATCCATTAGATCACTCTTTTGTGGTAAACATTGAAGTAAGTCATGAAAAAATACCTTACAGTTCAATTTAAATAAGTAACATAAGGATTGAGATTAAAGATAAAAAATTAACGAGATTAAAAATAAATGAAACAGAATTATTTCTACATACAACTATGAAAGAAAGCTCATCAAAATGGAATTGATAAAAAAAATATCTAGTGCATGTATCACAAAACTTTCACTTACCACCCTCTTCTTAGCAGAACAAGGTACAAAGGGGAAACAAAAGTAAAAATTGTAGACGCTATATTTATTTATATTTCATTGTGGTTGTTTTCATTTGTATAAATACCCTTATATATACAAATTTTAATATTTATATCGCTGTAATCTATACAATTAAATATTAAATAATACCAACAATAGAATTTAAGAAACCCACATATGTATATTTATATAATATTGTTGGAGACCGTATTATATTAAGCTCATGTTACGTATGGAAGCGTGTTCTACTCTTTCAGCGTGTGCTCGTATTCCTTTGGTTCCTCAATTATAACTATTCTCCGTTACTTTAGGGAAACCTAATATTAAAAATTAGCCATAAAACATCAATCAGAATAAAAACTACATTTTATTTAATACTGCTAATTTTACACTGATATGATGAATTTAATCAAAATCGATGAAGCCGTTTTCGAGAAAATCATAAAAATGTGTTTAGTCCATTATATAAAGTGCTACGTCTGGTTGGCCGATTTTGATGTAAAAGTTGCTGTAACTCCCCCAACATATAAAAACCTTAAATATGCAATTCCACTTTTGTACAACTTTTCGTTTTTGCGCTAGACGTTAACACACAGACCATTTTGTGGGACTTGGTTATTTGGACTCAGGGGACCTCAAAGCGTGTATTTCCGTTCGCAATACTTTCCTTTACTATATATTCCATATATAGGTAAGTAAAAGTAAAATACAAGTATGACAGTTAATATTACTAAAAATTTATCTTATCTGCAAAACCACCTTCAGTTTCTTCATTGTGACCACTGCAAAATTTATATACTACTCAACAGGAAGACTAGGAGCTACCGCTGGTTTCATTTAACGGAAGGACTTACAGCTAGAAACAGTAGCAGAAGTAGTATAGAAGGAGCAATAGAATAGATGGGGATAAGAGAGAAGGACAGAATAAATGATATTTTTTTTTTTAGTTTTTTAAGAATATCTCAAAAACTATGAGGTTTTTTCGCAAAGATTGTTCAGTATAATATTTAAGTACTTTAAAATCTCTATAAAAATTATCTTAATGAACTGAAATGAAAAATGAACTTTATTGGACTATATCAGACGAAATACCAGAGAAACTTAAATTAAGAACATTATTTTTTCATTAGGATACCAATGTTTAATTTATTTATCAATCTTTTTGTAAAATTCAATTGAAAGAGCAGCATCTTCAGTCAATCGATCAAAAATATTTTTAATACATAACCAGTGAAATAAAGTCGTAAAATAAATAATAATCTATAATATATTTCTTTTTTTCACAATCAGCTTACAATCACAGATATTATATTTATTTTTATATACTTACAATTGTTTCACTTTAACATACCCTTTTTATCATTTGAAAAAGAAAGAAAAAAAATCAGAAAACAGAAATAATTGAAATCTATTGCTCGGTCAGTTTATATGGGTTAGCTACATTTTATTATAACCTACGAAATGCATTGACATAAACGGTATATGTTTTGGTTTGACAGTATCAACATTTGTATAAAAATATAGTTAATTTGGTGTACAACTTACATAATCAGTCATCTTGAATTCAGTTTTGGATCAATACCCTGCACGTTTTGAGTCCAGTTTAAGTGGCATGTTCTTCCAGTAAGTATAGCCCACGAATTGTATGAATTTGAGGGCATCAGTTTATAAATTGCAACATATTTAAGCGGTCAGTTAGTATGCTTTCGATTCATTTTCATCTAATCTATCGAATGGGATAATTTTCGGCCATAAGATTTTTCGTTGAATAGCTTCAACTGAAATTAAAAAATTGAGTCAGTTTTAAAATTACAACGATTAATGTCATCAGTCATCTCGCATTCTATTTTAGATTGGTTCGCAGCTTATTTTGAGCCCAGTTCCAAGCGTAGGTCGTTCAGTTAAATACATTCCTCAAATTAAGTAAATTTTGGGTCATCAGTTTTTAAATTGCCACCAATTTAAGCGCTCAGTTGGTATTATTTCACTTCATTATTGTCTTATCTGTCTAACGTAACTCCTTTCTGCCGCAAGACTTTTCTTTGTATGGTTTCAGCCCAAATTAAAAATTGAGTCAGTTTTAAAATTGCAACAACTTACGTCGTCATTTATCCGTTTTATATCAGTTTTCGAAACGCATCTACATAGACCGGCAATCAAGATGTTTTCTTTTTTAAGGGCACATATTATACATCTCATCAAATTTTCAGCCATCAGTTTTCTCGTTAAATGAAACGTTAAATTTCACCTCTTTGATTTAAATTTTCTTATATAAAGCAATGGCTTTCAAGCGACTGACCGAAGTTGTGTATTCGGAAGAGGATTATCTGCAATTTAAAATAGTTTCTTGCTGTAAGCCCTTCCGTTAAATGAAACCGGCAGAAATACAGTCAAAAAAGTTATATAGAGCATTACATCTTTGTCTTAGGCCTGCAAAAAAATTTGAACTGAAAATATAATGCTCATAGAATGGTATGGTATGGTAAAATTATGCAATTTTTTCATCTCCTGAAAATTTTTTGTTTTATTTAAAAAATACTAGAAATATGAAACAAAAAATACAAAATGGTCAACTACTTAATTTGTGTGGTTTTTATTTAACCGGTCATCGTATTGAAATTAACAACCAAGTACATTTAGTGTAAAACCATGCCACCTTTCACTAAGCATGTTACAAACATTTAATCACATAAGTAACCAAAAGTTACCATCATAAAAATAAAAATTTTCTCCTCTAATTTGAATATTAATGGTTTTTTTTTTTTTTTTTTCAATGTACCATTTATTAAAGAAGGCTGCAGACCTTATAATATTAAGAAGTTAGTGTAATTTTTAAAACTGTGGAGAATTCTGTTGGAATATCATCCCTTAAATATTGTGTAGAGTCATTTTAACAAAGTGCAGTGACAAAGTTTTGAGCATATTGAAATTTATTTTAGATAAGACTGTTTTTCCTACAGATAATTGTGTTATCTCAAAGAAAGTAGATGCTGCCTCATTCTAATCAGGATGCAGAAAAAATAAATAAAAATAGTTTATCGTTATACCATCACTAAGCTTCCAATGCTCAAGGTCCCAGGTTCGAATCCCGGCTCATGGTAGAAAAATTATTTATTCTGTTTCATAGGCCGTGAGGTGGCTCTGGGGTAGCGAGATCCTTCTAAGGCCACACCCAGTATATACAAAGTGGATACTCTTAATTAAATAATTGATTAAGAGATAAAACGTGGCGGTTGAGCGTTATCCTGGTCCGACCCCCTCCCTACACCACCGTTGGCCTTGTAACAGTACTTTCTCTGACAAAGTACTGAACCCAAGACCCTTCATGGGTTGTTGTACTGGTTTTATCCTTATACCACAGGGAAGATAATCCATGTACCAGAAATGGCTAGGTAGGTAGGGCAAAGAAAAGAAAAGAAAAAAAAAAACTAAAATATTATTTACTCTGAAGTACTGTTGGGCTTTATTTAAATATACGTGTAGATATCCGACTGTGTGATAAATCGGGAGGGAAATGTTCCTTGCTCTTTGAAAACATTTTAGCTTTCCAATCTTTTATGGCATATTAGTTCTACTTCTCTCAATTTCTCTTTATTCATAAATGATAACTACAAAAAAGTCATTAAATAAAAAAACTGGAAACAAGAGTTTAGAAAATCCTGCATTTATTTAATCTTATGTATAATAATAGATTACACTATTGAAGTATAATTACAAAACACCAGGTTTTTCCTCCGGAATATCTATATTGGAATATACTTGAAAAATACTACAAAGTCAATATAAAATACCAGTTTTTAAAATCGAATTTATTGTATATGACATTTTGATGTCCCAATTCTACAAGGAGCAGAGACAACAATTATCAGCTGAAAATATCAGTCGTGGAACATTACCAACTTGTCTCAGATACAACTAACGTCTAATCTCTAATCTAAACGGAATGAGGCTCACTCATGTTAAAGTGTTTTCCAACAATGGAAAGAATTAATTGAAAAATTAAAAAGCCTGCTTTTATTGTTTGTCACTCAATATTGTATTGTGTGGAAATTGAAAAATCTTAATATTGTGTTATCTTATAAAAGACATATAACATAATATAACTCCTTAAAAATACTGTATGAAATATACTCTGAAATGTTATAGAAACTATGAGAATGATCAATTACCAAAATAAAAGAGGATTTCAGTATTTTAAATTTTAATTTCAAGTTAGATTTTCCAATGGAGTAATACCAGATCTAAATCAGAGTTTGATGTATCAAAATGCCTTTTTCAATCGATTTTTTAATGTTAAATTACATCTGGCATTTAGCGTTATAATTGTAAATTAAAATTGGATTTTGGGAGTTTTGAAATCTCCCAAACAGGTGAGTTAGATGTGAAACAAAGAATTAAATAACCATAACAAACTTACAAAGAAATATGAAAAAGGATGAATCTATATGTTATTACAAATATCGTCGGTTTATTGCAAAAATTCACTAAGTACACGTTTGAGGTATCTGAACTTTTAGAAACATTTTTGTTAATTCTGACCTTCTTCGAGTTGAATCTAAAAAAAATATATATCAAAAACTTAAAACATTAAAATTGATTTTTCTCAACTTTTTAAATACGAAAGATGTATGTTTTTTTATATGAAGCCACTCATTTGTTATAATAATGATGAAATAGCAGTCAAGTCTACTTCATGTCAATAGTTAATCTTATGATTAAAACATTGAAGATTAATTATCTTACGCATTTTTAGGCATGAACTTACAACAGACTTTAGCACACAGCCAACAGCAGCAAATGACGAAAGGTGCTGCAGAGATGGAAGTTGACGATCCTGAAGAAAAAGATATACAGAGCTCTAAGTAAGTATCTATATAAAAATTTTCTATTTTGATTTCCTAATTTGAGATAAGAAATGCCTTCTTAATTTTCAAAATTAATAGAGGGATTAGCATTTTTTATTTAATAGAATTGTTAAAACATGAATACATCAAGTTTAATAAAACTCCACTAGTCATTCGGAAAGGATTTTTTACTTTTGTTGTTGATTGTAATAAGGAGTATTCATGCACTTGTTGTAAATGCTTAATGTGATATCATGCCAATCGGTCAGCACAAATTTTGAATGAATGATAATAAAGTGTCTGTGCTAAAGTCTTATTAGTTATAGTAAGGTTACGCCTGTAGTGTAAACAAAGTTTTTGACTTCTTAATTGATCTGCTAACATTTTGATTTATTTTTAAAATGCCAAAGCGAAGTGAAAAGACTAAGTTACTGAATTATTTGGTTAAAAATGCTTTATTACAAAAAACGAATGAAGATTCAGAAGGCAAAGAACTTGATGAATACATAGCTGAAATCCTAGCTACCTTTACATTCCATTTCTGTGGATATTGTATACAAACAAAGAATAAACACATCAAAACCTTACTATAACCTTCTCCGTGCATTAACGAAGTTAGCAACACTTGACAGTACCCTAGACTGCGTTGAAATCGAGAGTGCCAGTGGCCATATTTAACATACATTTTGTAGATAATTTTCTTGACAATACACATTTAAGAGGTTTACAATACTTAGCACTGGTTGCATGAGTACTCCTAATGTATATCCCACCCTCCTTATACTCTTCAGTTCACTCAAATTTCAATGTTTTGGAGCTTAACGTTTTTTGTGCCAAAGTACAGATATACAAGTTGACCACTACTAAAATATATTTAGTTCTAAATATAGCTAGAAAATATTCATGAATATAAATTAAGATATGATATTATTCTAGGAAATATCTATGCTTTTGGGATTTTCTATTTCGTATTTATTTTTTTGTTATTTTATTATTATAACAAAAATAAAAAACATTTGTTATACCATGTCCCCTCAATTTATTATTATTCATTTTTATTTCAGTTTGGAAATAATGTCCGCTCTTGGTACAAACATGGTTGGAAACTTTTCTCAACCCCCACCAAATTTCAGTATGCATTCAAACCAAAATCAGGCTCCTCAAAATTCAAATCAAAACAACTCAGCCTTTAAGGGTCGAACTGAAGGTAGAAGTGATAGCAGAAGTGAGGTAAGGAGTGATAGTAGGAGCGATGATAGAAAAAGTGATAAGGAAGATACGCCTCGAAAGAACAGAGAAAGAGATGGGAAGGATCGTCATGATGATAGGGATAGAGATAAAAGAAGAAGGCGGGATTCTCCTGATAGAGGTCGAGACAGAGATCGGGAAAGGAGAAGAGGAGGAAGTGATAGAGGGCGAAGGGACTGGGGTGGTAAAGGTGCAAGGAGCAGCAAGTGGGGTGACAGAGATAAGGATGATGAAAGGTTAGTTTATAATACAAACTTTTTCAATTTTATATTAAAAAATGTTTTGACTTATTTTAATTTTAGAATTAAACTTATTTATAGTAACAAGAATATTGTCTAGATTGTTTGTTCCTCAAACTAACCCAAAAATTCTGGGCAAAGCTAAGACAAAAATAAATAACACAATTTTGTTTGAAATTATACAACTTTTTTTTCTCGCCTCCTAAGGCTCATTGAAACATGCACATAATATTTTTTAATTTAATATAACTGAAAAAATTTGGTTGAAATCGGTGACTAACTGACAGAAAATAAATGGCATGGCAGGATTTAACTCTTTATTAAGACACAGTTGATTTTGACTAAAATTGTCTCAAACTTATTTTATAAGCCTGTTAATAATTCTATAGTGAAATAAGTCTGCAAAATGAGATGACTGATTCTTATTTAACTTGTTATATCGTGTCTTATTAACGTTCTTACTTATTGCTAGAGATATTATCTTAAATTATCCCTATGAAGTTTGTGGCTGATTTTGACACAACATCAAATTTTTATTTACTTCCTATTACACGATCAAGCTGAAATATATATATATATATATATATATAAACATACACAAACACAAACATGTATATATTGGTCAATTCAATAAACTATAGCTTGTAGCTCGTATCTTTTACAAATTATAATACACTACTGCCGTGTAAAATTTTTAGAAAATTATTTATATTCAGTTTAGTGGATGGCTTTTGTAAACATAAAATTATTGTTCTTGGAACAAATAAATAATTTTTATTAACATAATGAACATGTATCCGTGTTTGTTATTCATAAGAATACTTTGTTTCATATGGCTTTATGAATGTATTTTCAGAAAAGATTGGAAAGGTAGCAACAATACTCCTGGTGGTAGTAATAAGGAAAATAATGAAAGAAGCTCCGACGATGAAATGCCTGATATGAAAACACTTCCGTTACCTCCACCTTCACAACAGCATGAACCAGGCTCACCCGCAATGCAGTTCCCACCTGGCATTAGGCCTCCTGGTCCACAAGGTCCAGGTAATTTCAATTATCTATTTTTGTTATTTATAAATAATCATCTACAAGTGTACGTTGGCCTTGCCAGGAACCACAATGGGTTCATGTTTCCTGATTTAGATGGACAACTCTAGTATTAAAGTTATTTGATATTTACTATTTTATATCCCACTACTAGATTCAGTATTGGTAAAACCTAGACACGGAACCTATATTCCTACAGTAATGTTTTAGGTTCAGATTATTATGTTTCATTTAATAATATAGTCAAATGTAATTATAAAACGTTAAGTTTTATGCTGCCGTTGTAGACTAAAGAATAAATTCAAAGTTTATATAAATAAATTAATGAAGAAAAAATACTGTTCTAATCTTTCGATTAGTTTAAATAGGAGTAAAAAAAAAAAAGTCAAGATTTGCCATGCTGTTCTTGTTATTTAGAAATGTTATAAGTTTAATAAAATATTTTCAAAAGACAAAAGCTACTGATGTTTTGGGAATGTTACTAGATCTGAAGGAGGAGTTTATCAAGTAATGAAGTATTGTGAGCCTTGCAAGAAAATATTTGGATCTTCTGGTTTTATTCATTAAATGTTGATAAGTTATCCTCGCAAGTCCATGTGAACTCTCAGTAGTCTTGGAATTTAAATCATGAATACTTGTGGTTTTCAGCTACACACTGCTACTAGCCATTTTCTAGTAATTTCTTACTCAAATGTAGCGAGGATTTTCCTTAATTAATGAAACTTTTTTTTATCTTAATCCTAAATGATCACCTTTATTTTAAATTCTGTTGTTAAAAACATTGGTTTATAATTTCCCAATATTTTCCTGGAAACTCCATAACATTCCAATCTCCTAATGATCAACTGGTAACCTTTAGTTACTTTTATCATTTCTACTATCTTCTATGCCTGTGTGAGAGGTGAGCGCTACTTATAAGCTCTCTCAATTTCTCTTACTCTGGCTATGGCTTAATTTTATCCACGGAATCATTTGAACTCATGCTTCTATCAGTTGTGTACATTTTGCAAGAATTTTAAATTTTGTGCTTATACTTTTTAAAAATAATATACATCTAATTTATTTGGTTTTGATTAATATCAGGTGGATTTGGCCCAAGATTTGGTCCTCCTAAAAATGAAGATGGTCATCAAATGAACATGGGAATGCAAGGTCCGCCTTTAGGAATGGGAGGTGAATTCATGCCACGTGACTTTCAACCTCCAATTAGAGGAGATTTTCCCCCTAGGGAATTTCAGCCACCCATGAGAGGCGATTTCCCACCTACAAGAGGTGATTTTCAAGGACCATCAAGAGATTTCCAAGGTTCGAGAGATTTTCCAGGACCCCCTAGAGATTTCCGTGGACCCCCGGGAGATTTCCAGGGGCCTCCAAGAGATTTCCAACCAAGGGGTGATTTTCAATCTCCCAGAGGAGACTTCCCACCCAGATATTTTGGACCAAGAGGGCCTATGCGACCACCAATGGGTCCACAGCAAGGAGGACCCAGACACAGACAACCTAATGGTGAGATATATCAATAATATTCTAGATACAAAACAGAGTAAGGTTGGTTATTTATAAAAACCTTGATTACTAATACATTTATTTGATCTATTTTATAGTGGAAATCTTCTGATATAATTTATTTTAACCAACAAGAATTTTGTAACATTAATTATTTATGAATTTTGTTACTATGCAATGTGCTGTAAAACGTAGTAATAAGAAACCTAAAAAAAAAGTGTCCTTCGACTTTAAAGATTGGAAATTAGACTTGAAAAACTATCAGTCATCAGGAATTTTTAGTTTTAAGCCTAATAATTTCATTTTTCCATTCATGCTTGGCAACAAGTACATAAGTTATTTATTACAAACTTTAAAATTATATAGAATTTTTCAGAAGTTGAAGTAATACTTATCATCAGAAGATGTCCAGATACATCATTTTAATTTTTATTCTGTTCCAACTTTGTATTCAATTCAAACCAATAAAATTTCAAACTTTAAGATCTGTGAATTTGCTATTTTGCTGGAAACCATGAGAAAACATAATGATAAACAATAAATTACTACAACATTTTGAAGTAAAATGTAATTAGTTCTTAAATATGTTTATTATTTTTGTTACACATTATTCATTGTTTTTACATGTTATTATGAATAAAAATTGATATACATAGTTAAGTTTTTTTATATGTTCTGTCTAAAAGAATGTACATGTGTGTATTGATGAGGAAATTTATTAAATATGGAATATATATTACACTCATGATTTTCCAAAGGCAACTCCTGTCCATAGAATAATAGGCTGCTTGGAAAATCATGACTGAACTGAGAGTTTCCAGTAAGTTCATGAGATTGACAAAGGCGTGTATAAATGATCCCAAATGTAGAGTCCTAATACAAGGAGAAGTATCTGAAGCCTTCAAAGTTCGAATGGGCTTCCAGCAGGGATGGACTACCACTGATGTTCAACTTAGCCCTGGAAAAGCTGATTAGAACATCACAGAAAAAAATGTCAGAATAAATCATAAAATCCTTGGATACACAGATGATATAACTGTCCTTGAAAGAAATTAAGAGGACATTGAGAAACTCGTTAAGACTCTAATAGGACAAACAGATCAGATCGGCCTACAAACAAATGAAGACAAAACAAAATATATGATAATAAGCAAAAATTTCCAAACCCCAATAACAGGATCTGCGTTGAAGGAAAATCATTCCCGAGTGTAGAAAAATTTAAATACCTCGGCTCCATAATAACCTCAATGAATGACCAACGGGCAGAAATAGATCAATATATAACTAGCACAAACAGAGCTATCTTCTCCCTTTCAAAGACATTGAAATCCTGAAAAATCTCAAATTAAGGGTGTACAATGCTATGATACAGCCAGTTCTAATATATGGCCGTGAGACCTGGATGCTAACCAGCACCATAGACATATGGGTTGAAAGATTTGAGAGAAAAATCCTCCGCACGATTACCGGAGTGGTCTGTAATCATAGTACTAACACATGAGGGTTAAGATAGGCAGGACATGTAACTCGTAGCAATCCATCTGAAAGTCTCTACGTAACAATGAATGCCTCAATCGAAAGCAAAAGACCACGTGGAAGGTCAAAAAGCAGATAGATAGATCAAATCAACAAAGATACAATAGAGCTGCATGCAGATAATTGGAAAGAAATAGCCCCAGACAGGCAGAGATGGAGCAGGCTTGGCAAAAGATCTACATGGTCTGTAATGCCAACAGAAAAAAAAATAATATCTTACACTTCTGCATAGTTATAATCTTTTAGTGACAATGAGTAGGAAAGGAGAAATGGCCTTTTGGATGGCATTAGCTGACAGTCCTCTGTGAACCTGTGACTATTAAGCAATGGAATACTTTTAACCACTTAAACCTTTTTATTAAGGGCATTGTTCCTAACTTTTTTATTTATTTTTTTTTTTATACAATTGATAGAATAGCCACAAGAAGTTTGAAAGTATAATTCATCACTGCATACCCCATCGTTTAAAGAGAAAGAGCACGACATGCTCTCGGCTCATATATGAGTCCACTGTTGTCAAAAAGTTTATGCTGTGCATCTAGAATTAGCATTGGATGTGCTTATGGACCACATGCTGGTACACAACTGCATATTATGGCTTCTTTTCCATTAGATGAATATTAAACAGGAAAACTTCAAATATTCTGACTCACAGTTCCATGAAGATTATATTATTTCCTTTTTTATCAATATTCAAAATCCAGAGTTTATATCAGATTAGATTATTCTTTGATAATAGGGAGAATAATAATAAGAAAGATTTGGTTTGATTACAACTACATTAACAGTAAAAGTTGTCTTAGAATCTAAAATCTTTCCAACAATAAATGCTCCCAGTTCAATCAGAGTTTATGTTATATGAGTATTTGATATGGTCCCTCTTCAGGTATATTGGAAATAATATCACAAACTTTGCCCCAAAAAGTAGTAACAACTTAAAATTATCATTTAGTGTCCCTTAGTTTTGTTTGCTTCTTTGTTGAACTCTTAACAAATGTTTTTTAATCAAATTCTATTTAATTGATTTCAACATGATGAATTTGGTTGATTATTTTTCTTAATTGTTAAGAACATCAATGAATTAATTAAATTTGTTGACAATTTGTCACTGACTTTTTTTTTTTACAAAGCATTAAGATTATTTGTGTTAATGTTTTAGGTCCAATGTTTGGACCACAGCGAGGACCCCCAGGACCCATAGGAATGCGAGGACCTAGAGGTATTCCTCCTGGTAATCTTATTACATCATTATTTGTTACATGATTAGTTAGCATCTTGCAAATGTACCCACTTCCGGTATTTTATAAATTATTTTAACTGCTTGACCCATGCGAATAATTCAAATAGTATGTTGATCAGTGAACAAATGGCTAATATTTGGGGGAAAGAATTAATTTTCTTCTAATTGGTAGACTCTAATGGTTTATTCAAAATAGTAGACAAAAATATAAACTTTTGGCTATATGTTAGCTAAAAATGAACTTGTTTTGTTTTGTAGGGAATTCGGAAACCTTTTAAATTATCATGGATATAATCTACCATAAATTGTATCTTTTTTGAGTTATATGCAAACAAAGCTTCCTTTTCTTTATTTATAACTTTATGCCTGACTTTCCTGAGAGATGTACAGTGTATTTATAACTACATATTGATTTTGATTATGAAAATTCAAGTTCTATGATTCAGAAGGCTTTTGTAACTTAATTTTTAATTTATATAGTAATTACCATTATAGCGACAAATTAGATTTAACACTCAATTTTCTATGATTTCTAGAAAAAATAATCTGATATAAAAACAATCAGCTCTAAGAACTCCAGCTATCATTGTGTTTATGTTTCACTTTTCCAGGAAAACCATTATTTTATTCATCCTCTATATAAGCATCTCTTTTATTGGATCAATTTCATTCTCCACTCCCCACTCTTAGTGCTAAATTCATATTATTAGTTATATTCATCTGATTAGTACTGTCCTTGTAGCACACTTAAGAATGTTGAACAGAAAAAGGGTAGTAATAGGAAACGAAAATTCCAAATATGTTGCCATATCATGAGTGAAAAGTCCTATAGTCTGGCTCCGAACCCTTTACAATTTATTTTTTTAATATTCCAAAAATAATTTTTCTAATTTTTATCTGAAAACTCTGTAACTTCATTTATTTATAAACCATAAGTACCTATCTAGGAAATTGTAAATTTGTGTTTTCAGTTATTTAAATCAATTTGTAATCATCTTTGAATTAAATTGAAGTAACAAAGTCTGTTATTATGATTATGTATGTACATGAATGTTGAAATAATCATTCAATTATTTTATTTTTTTTTTCTAGTTCGTATGGATGGACCACCTCATGGATTCATGGGACGAGGTTTTCCACCACGCATGCGCGGAGGTCCGCCCCATAGATTTGGTGGGCCACCTTTGTTTCCTGGCAATAAGGGTAATATGGGTGGTGATGGTCCTCCAGTTTCTAGGAGATGGGGAGAAGATGACCGCCCACCAAGGAGATCCCGATGGTCCAGTGCACCCGACAGTGCACAACAATCCGAGACAGATTCAGAAGTGCCTCATTCAGAACAAATAGATAATCAACGTGATACAGAAGATAAAAATTCAGAACCAATGATGCCACCAGGTGCCGAGGAAGCCTCTGAATTACCACCAAAAGATTTAGGTTCATCTGATCCACCAAATGAACCTAATACTGAGTTTGAACCTAAAGAGTCAGCAACTGAATTTACAGCAGAGGCAGAATACTCTGAAGTGAATAATGTTACCGGTAATGCTATATTTGATGCTGAAGTTAATGTTAAAGAAATAACACCTAATGAAACTGTTGTGTCTCAAAAAGAACAATAACTAACCTGTATAAAATATTGTAGATAGTTGGGAGAATGTCACGATGATATAGTCTTTTATAGTTCTGTAAATTTTTATTCAAATGGTTTAAAATGAAAGCCTGGAAGTATATATATCCCATTTTATTTTACTTAATTTATAATGTTTTTATGTCTAATATCATTTTTTTTTTATGGTGTTACTATTGCTTTTTTGAACTGAATAAGAATAAATGGAAGCATGATATCAGAGGGGGACATTTTAATTAACTCTTCTTAATGGTAGTTTAATAACTGTTGGTGTAATTCATTTTGTTTATACAAGATTTTTTTTCTTTGGCATTCTCCCACTCTATAAATAATTTTAATTTATTCTTTGGTGTGGTGGTATCCAAAATTAATTTTACTTTTCTTTTTTTGGCTAATAGTGATTTTGGAACTGTTTTTGATATCTTAAAGTATTCTTAAAATAATTGTAAGAGAAACAAATTTGATTCTTTTTTTCTTCCCTTTTTCACATTGTTTCTGTAAACTTACTTTTAAATATAACAATCCATTAATACACAATTGAAGTAAATAATTTATTATTATTAAAATGATCTGTTATCGATTTTATATGAGTAATTTTTTTGTATCAGCAATTGATTTGTAAAGATTTCTGGACATGGATTTTTTTTTTCAAAGAGCTAATTACCGGATGTATATATTTTTGATATTTAGGCCATAACAAAATTATTATATGATTGCGTTGTAATGTGCTATAACAACTAGATTCTTTAGATACTTAAATTTGCCCTCCTCTTAATAACTCAAATTCTTTAGTAAAACAAATACTTTACCATATTTCATTGCAAAATTCTTACCAGATGTAACTTGTTAATAATTTTGCAAAATCTGTATCAGGTGTGTGAATAAGTTTTATCTCATTTGTTATCTAGAGAATTTCTGTTTACCTATGTTCATCTGGCAACACTGAAAACAACTTTATTTAAGAGCTAACCCTCTGTACTCAGGTTATCAGTCTATTTTAAATCCTCTAAAATGTGCGCATTTTTTTTTTGTATCACTTCAAACGTGGAGAATTCAGTACCTTCATAACCGTTTTTGCAAGGAAGTTTATTACACTGTTTTTCTAAAATAAAACTGCAGCTGAATGGCATAGGATTCTTGTGGGAATTCTGTAGCAATCATGTTTTATCATAAACAACATACAGAAAATGGTTTCAATGTTTTAAAAACAGTTATTTTGATCTCAGAGATGACAACCGTTCAGGTGCCCCAAAAAAGTTAGAAGATGAAGATTTGTAGGTGTTACTTTGTGAAGATACATGCCAGAAGCAAGAAAAACTTGGAGAATCATTAGAAGTTGTTCTAACAAATGTTTGGAAGCTTTAGGAATGGTTTAAAAGCAAAGAAATTAGGTACTGTCTCAATTTCAAGAAAGGGATATTAAATGACATCTATCTGTGAACTACTACTTCAACAGCACAAAAAAGGTTTTCTGCATCGTATCATAACTGGTGATGAAAAGTGGATACACTGTGACAATTCAAACAATCATGGTTCCAAACTTATGGTTTTCTTTTGATAGGATCAGTTTGATATTTATTACAAACTGCTTCAAGTCAATGAAACCATCAAAGGAAATCACTATAGACTAGATTTGATGCGTTTGAGCCAAGCCCTAAAGCAGAAGTGACTGTAATGCGAGCAGACACAATAAGATATTTTTACTGCATGATAAAGCTCTCAACCTCATATTGCAAACCCAGTTAAAACTTATCATTCTTACAACAAAACTAGATAGTGGATTGATGATTGAATTGGCTTTGAAAACATTTCTTTATTCAACACGGAATCCATATGTTTGAAAGATATTTTTTGCACCATCCTGTTTTCCTTACATGTGTCCTATCCACTTGCATTTCGTCTCCTTATTTTGAGATAGTTAAGAACCGGATTTTTAGTTCTAGAGACCTCAGACCACCAGCTCTCCAGAATTCTTTGCCAACAGCGGTTGAAAAATTTTAAGTTACTTAAATCACTTCTGTAGAGTAGAACTGACTTCTGATATTAAAAAGACATATTGTTGCCTTCTTGTAAAGGTTCATGTTCTTTCATATAGTTTAACTAACATACCGTTTTCTGTTTTGATCTAGCTTCTAATTTGCTTGTCTCTTTAATAACAACACATCCCAAGTAGATAAATAATTCCACCTGCTTTACAGTTTTCTCCCTTAAAAAAAGTGGGTCATAGCTTCACACACATTTCCTAGTCCAACTCATTTGGTGATTTGCCTTAAGACATTTATCTTGTCATGTAGATCACTGATCGTTGTACAAAAAGGCAAACATTGACCTACTGAAGATCTTCAGTTCCTCTCTCCCTCTCTCTCGCAATAAGATCTCACATGCATGCATTCAAGCGTAACTTTCTTCAAAATCTTCCCAATCATCCCTTCTTTTTCACTCAGCCGCCATTTTCTTTCTATCATATCTCCTTAAATTGTAGGGATTCAATAATTTGGTTCGATTCTGAAGAGTCAACTTTCAAGATTTCAGCCAGCACATTTGCCATTGATACCTGAGGCTTTTTTGTTCTTCATTTCACCAAGAGCCATAATGATCTCATGAAGTGTTGGTGTGGATTCTTCAATACTAGCTATATCAAAAGTGACCATGTAAAAATGGGTATCTTCTGCGTCTTCACAATTTCTGTTCAGCACATCAGATTGTTTGTGCTTAGACTTTAATCTGCTGTCACTGATTGTTTTGGACTTTTCTTTTTATTAGCCTGTTTGAGACTAAATAGATCTCTGCTAGGCATTTGAATTATGTCGTCTTGTATTTTGTTGATTGAGCTGCATTCTCCTGTCTATCTATCTCTTTCCAAGTATCATTGGTCAATCATTCCTTCTTTTGGGAGTTTTTATAACCAAGACAAGATTCACTCATTTTCAAGATGCTTGTTTTAATGGTCTCTTGATTTTCAACAAAGCTCTCTGACTTTCTCTCTCATCCAAAGCAGCTGCATATGGTGAGTAGTATGCTGTAATTAGTATAAATGTGCTTGGTAAGGGTACAGTTTCCTGAATCTGGAGGACCCGTGCCAATCTATGGCACTATTACAGGGTGATGGAACCACTGCCATCCTACACCAGTCTGCAGAATATAAATTAATCAAACATTTTCTATTTTTGAGAAGGAGTTGATCGGGGGGTGCGGTCAAATTAATACTAAATTCAAAAAGTATAATTATTTAATTTTTGCCGACGTTTCGACCCACTTTGCAGGTCTTCATCAGGGCTACAAAGATAAAAAACATGGTGAAAATAAATTAATATAATTAGATATAAAATAAGAATTTATTTTCACCATGTTTTGTATCTTTGTAGCCCTGATGAAGACCTGTAAAGTGGATCGAAACGTCAGCAAAAATTAAATAATTATACTTGTTTAATTTAATATTAATTTGACCGCACCCACCGATCGACTCATATTATATCAACAGTCAACCATCTCTACATTATTATTTTCTATTTTTGTATGTATCATTTTGGAAATATTCCTGACACTTCGTTAAATGTAAGAGAATAGTTGGGGATAAGTTCAGAAATAAAACTCAATAATATCTTATCTTTATATATTTTGGCATACATTATAGTTTTTTCCAGAGCTATAAAAAAATAATAATTTTAAAATAAAAATCTGTGAAAATCGAAAATTATCACTGCTCATGTTTTTATTAATATTTTTTCTAAATTTAAAAGTTTTCTTATATACAGAAATCTAAACAGTTTTTATGAACCTCAGTTTCACTAAGCATCCTTGTCATGATGAGCTTAGGATTTCCTTCAGTTGTGTTTTGTTTATTTTATTATCAAGACCTTTTTTTTTCAGTTTGGCATCATTTTCAATATTTATTATAAAGGTTTTCATACATACATAATCGGCACAAAAAAAACCCTAATAAGCCTAGGCTTCCTTGAGCAGCCTCAACAAGATGGCTCTTTCTTGTCCAGTCATGGGTATTCAGCAAGTTCCTTTTATTACTTCTACGCCATCTTGTCCTGATTCGTCTCACTCCCCTTGCTCGGTAAAATTCTTCCGTGATTACAGTAGCATTAAGCGTACCAGTCTTGTAGAGGTTGATTTTAATACTGAAGGAAAGATTCTTGTTCATTAAATACTTTAACAAGCCGTGGACCATCTATTGGTAGTATAGATCTGCCTACTGATATCCAGTGATAAATTTTTCTGGGAGTTCATCTTGGATCCCAGGTACACAAAAGTTTCCACTCTCTGAAACTTATAGGGCCATTGTTCATTGATTTTATGAATGAATTCCCTGATAGCTGTTTCAAAAGATGTTAATGCCTGTCCTGCCACGATATCAATGTAATGTGTAGTCTGGATTTTTTATTTGTTGGCAGCCATTTCATATTGAAGAGGAGGAAACAAGGGAATCTCCTTGTCTTACTTCGATACTGGTTTTAAGTGTTTTGGAAAGGTTTAACCTCCACAAGGATTTCTCATGGTCACCTTAACTTGGGATTGGTTTTGTGAAATCTTCCCCTAAGACAAAATGTTCTTCATTATTTAGATTATCCTGAAAAGAAAATTTTATATAATGTAGACTTTTTTCAAAGCTCTTCATCTAGCAAAATCTTTTCTAAATAATAATTAAGATACTATAGATACTCTACACATGGTATTTGTTGGCTGCTACAGAGGACTGAATAGTGGAGGTTACTACAGAGCTATGATGACCAATTATTGATTTATTTGTTCAAAAACCAACATTTAACATTTTTTCTTTTTTGCTAATAAATTACTGTTGCATAGTATAGAATCAATTTAAAGGGTTGGGATTAGCTCATTGGTGCACTAATTTCAGTTGGCTGAGAGGCAATTGGTATTGCTTCCATTTATATATAACTGAATATGTTTAATAACATAACTAAGCTATATAGTTTGATTTTTCTTACTTATAATTGTGGATTTTGTTGTAAAGATCCTTAACATCTTGTGGTAACTCACAACCTCCATTAATCTTGACTGTCATTGGTTACTTCTTGTTTATTTGGTTTAATGTAACTTATATACTTCAAATAGTATAGAATGGTCAATACATTCTACAGGTTACGAACCAAACTGAGAAGGCGGATGTTGCCTTAAGACGCAACTAAATAAATTTCTACCTGCCACGGCTGGGTTTAAACCAGCACCACTTCTGCTGTCTCAAGGTTGCTATGACAACTCAGCCATCACGCCCTTTTCTTTACCCTATAAGTCCATTATTATTATTACACTGGTCTGCAGTTAATACATCTTTACATTTGCAGTTATTCTTGTTATATCCTTTTTCAAATCATAGGTAACACCCAATTACAACAAATTCAGGATTATAAGTTTAGAAACTTCTAATTGTAAAATTTGATTTTTCAATTTGCAATTCTCTTTTATAGTACTCTTGAACCAACTCGCACGTATTTTGCTTTTTATTTATTTGCAACCAGTTTAAATCTTCTCAGCTTCTTTAGATCAATATGTCCTGTGTGGGTTCTATGGATGTTGATATTTTAATATTGTTTAACTCCAAAAATTTCTATTAGTCGTAGCCCTGGCCAAAGCTGTTATAATTATCCAACTTTATTGTTGCATTTTTTCATGATTATTTTCAAGTACATGTGAACATCTTTTTTAAACATTAGAAAATAAACTGTCCAGTTTATATCATGTCATTTATAATGTCCCAATGATTCTGATGTACATTTAATTATTGTTGTTTCTTTAACTATACAAGTCTAACAGCAACACCATTTTCTAGGTGATGTTTGGCAATATATAGATGGTCATCAATGGCAACCCGTGTGGTAGTAAGAAGAAACCGCTTTTAAAAGAAATAAAACAGTTTCTGAGTTGATCTTTTTTTTTTTAATAATGTTTTTATTGGCAAAAGTTTCAGAACTATTGGTTAAGTTGACTTTTTTATTATTAATCAAAGAGTATTTCAATGCTATATGAGCTAGTAATAATGAAGTAAACCATTATATCTTAATATTTTCTATTCTAATTGATCCCTTCAGTTCCAGTTGATTTTGTAATTTATCATTTAATTTTTGTTTTCCCAATATAATCTTGTTTTAGTTTTTGGTTTAATTCCAGTATGTAACTACATATTTAAAAGTTGGCATACAAAATTATAATTTAGATAATATTAGAAAGAAATGAATATTTAACAGCAAATAGGAGAACATCCAACAGACTTATATGATTGATTAATGACTTGAAAAGTTTTTTACTTTCACTTAATTTGGTGCTATTTTTTAATATCACAAGTGATTTATTGACTGAAATTTAACATTTAAAGTATGGTCTTTTATTTAAGTGGCTAACGTGTATAACTAAATAGAGCTAAGGTTAGTTGTGTTTAATATTGCTCATTCAATCCAAAAATAAAATAAATTTGAGTGTTTTAGTATTTATTATATCCTCAGAAATGAAATGGTGACTTTTTTTATAAATTATGTGGGCTTGTTCACCTATTTTTATCTTATTTTACAAAAGTTCATACAGTGAATTAGGTCTTTATTTGTAAGCATTTGATCCAAAATAAGTTTTGCCCCTGCTCTATAACTGAACTAATGGAACATTCATGTTGCAAATGAATGAACAATAAAAAGTTCAATATTTGATAGTAGAGTGGATAACTCATGTAAAAATGAGGCGTGGCCGAATATTCCTGCTCTAACCCATTGTTAGATTAATTTATTAATTTTTAAAAAAATGAAGATAATGCCTTATCATAGTAGCTTTAAATGAAGTTATTGGACACATTGTCTCATTTAAAAAAAAAAAAAGAAGTAAAATGTTTAGTTAAAAGGGTTAACCTTGGTATTTCGTGTTATATGATGAATCTAGAAGAAAAACAGAAAAGTTTTATTTATAGTAGTTAAATGTGGAGAGGGGGATGTCCGAACAGCCTAACGCGTGTGCACGAGGGGTTCTTATAACTCTGGCATTAATCCCTAGCCCAGGAAAAAAACCCATATAGCCTAAAAGGCGAAGATAGGGGAGAACAAAAAAAAAGTAGTTAAATGTGGTTATATTTCTTATACAGCAGTTAAGTTAAATAAGGTCTCTTTTAGGACCACGGAAAGACTTAATTATAGAGTAATATATATATATATGGAATAAAAGTTATAGGAATTAGTACAGAGATTAACCAGAGTAGGAAAGTCTAAATTCATTCTATGGGTCACTAAGAAATAAATTTCAACCCACCATTCCAGATTCAAATCAGTGACACTACACTTGAGAATGTTAAAATGGACAGACAATGTTTTAAAACACTCACTATGGCCTCATTGACCTTGGTTTGTCAAGCTTTATTAAATACATACATATTTATAAATTTACAAAATATTGTATGTTAAATGTGCTTAATATTCTAGAGACTCCTCCCCTGTCTCACAGTTTAAATTTTCTTTGAGAACGAAATTAAAAATGTTGAAAAAAAAAAAAAAATGGCCAACCCATCATTTGAAAAACATTTCCATTCATTGAATCCTTACACAATTCCATCTCCCTTGAATCACCCTACATCCTTAGGGAATTAGAAGAAGGAGAAACTTCAATGATGAATTATTACAATTTATTTTCATTTAGTATTCTTAATCATCACACATTGCTTATGTGGCTATTATTAACCATTGTTTATTTTTCACACCAAAAACACTTTTACAAATATCTTTTGAATTTATCATGTTTTATACATTTTCTCTCTGTTCCAGATCATGCTGACGGTTCACAATCTGAATTTATGGAAAATGACAACATACAATCATCTGTCCCTATTGGCCAACCACAAAAATTTGGAGAATCTCATAGGAAGTCCCGGTGGTCTTGTGCATCTTCTAATGATTTTACACAGCCTGATAGTCTTCCAGAATCAGATGTCTCCCCGCCTACTAATCTACCACCTTTGTACAGTGAGGTTGGCAAAGATTCTGAGGTAGTGAGGCCGCCAGGTGAAGATGATTTCGTGCCTGTTGATTTTGGTCCTACTGAATCTCAGACTGATTTCTCTTCAGAATTTTCTGCAGGAGAAATTGGCAGTGAATTAGTGGAATCTAATGAACTTAGCAAAATTAATAGTGTAAGTAGTGATAATGCTGATGTTCATAAAACAGAGACAGAACATATCGAAACTAATCTTGCTTCTGACAGCACAGAATCATCTCAAAAGGAATAGTAAACACAAAAGTACTTCAAATCATCAAAACATTATGTATCAATAATCTAGTCTTAAGGTTTTTATAAACTGTAGTAGTATAAGAAATTATACTAGCTAATGTAAATTTCAAAATTCACTCTACGTTGACTTAAATTCTTAAATTTATCATATTTCATAAACCTTTGAAGAAATCACTGAACTTCAAGGTAATTAATTTTTATCAATTTTCTTTTTATTGTTAATTTTGTTTGAATAACTAAAAATATAAACAAAAGATTGGTTTTATACTTTTGTTTCATTGTACATGGAATTGAACAATTATAACTGTGTCTTTACAAGAAGATGCTTGTAAAAAAAAAATAATGTGAGATTTTTATTTATTATAAATATAGTTATACATTTTATTTTGACAAATTAGTTATCAATTATTTCATTTTAAATGTTTAGTTAATTGATCACGAAACTTATGAAATTTCTTATTAAATATGTTATGATGGTAGTATATAGCATCAAAGATTAATTATTTTTGTCTTTTTATCATGAAATATTATTTCATTTTAAGAATAGTTTATTGATGATTGTATAGCATTAATAAAGCTCTTTATTTTAAGGTGGTTATTTTATGCATAAAAAACGTTGTTGTTGATGTAAGTTCTTTTTTTATGTATTTATATTGCAAAGATGATGATTGCTCATCATTTTAACCTTTGATGTTCAATGTGTTTCATGCAAATACTTAATTGGTAGAAGATATGTAAATAAACATTTAGCCCAGGCATCAAATTAAATTAGGCCACAATTTTGGAATTGAATGAGTTAAAATTACCTATTGTTTCATCACATTTGAAGTGTTATACTACATCACATCATTACGTCTGAAAATTTTATGAGTTTTGTCAGGGGTTTGGATTTTTATTGCATAACTACCGCCAATCATGCTTTCATATTCCCTTAAAAGTGACCTAATAACTTTTCCTAATCCCTGTAAGTAATAAACCTTTAGATCAATTTTAGTTATACAATAGATAATTTGAATATTGAATAATGCCTTTTATTCCCATTTGAGCTTCAACTCTTCATTTATTGTTATTGACAAGATAAAGTTGTTACAATACTGTATATTAAAAACTATTGTGTATTTATTATTATTAGAGATGATTGTTATTATATTTTAAGTTAAATCTTTCCTCAGGTTTATAGGGACAAATAATCCCAGATAGAATAATATATAGAAATAAACATTGTTTTCTCTATGAACGGCCATTATTCATAATTCAGATGTGAATGAATCCAAATAGGGTTTATTTAATACTCTTTTTAGCGCTATGGCACTCTTACTGTTTTTGGTTGGATGGAACAATCCAGGAAAGTGGGATTTTTGTCAACACCTCATGTTGCATATGGATTACCACTCAGCTTTGAATGGAGTAGTGGATCAAGATTTATTTTGCAAGAACCATATGATATAATTATTAAGTCCTCTGTGACCATTGTACCAGGATGATTGTTTTATTTATTTCAACTTAATAAAAAGTACTTTTTCCTCAATGTCAAGGATATATTTAGTTTGTTTAGGTTTAGGACGGTTATTGAATATAGAAAAAAAAATTGTTTTATCATCAAATCGATTCTGCTTGCAATATAATATTTTTAAATGAGTGTGTGATAGAAAGGTAGAATATACCTTTATTAGGGGATAATGCTCCCTTGAGAATAACAAATTGTACAAAAATAAATTATTAGCCCAAATAAAAACAATAAACGAAAAAAAAAACACTTGAAACCATGAACAAGACCCTTGAAACTGTATACAGTGAATAAACATTATAAATATACACTACTAATCAAAAAACGAAAAAATGCATTAAATTCTTTAAAATAAGTTATGAGTTTCTGATAAAGAAACAGAAAGCTGAATCTATCAACATAAAATGCCTGAGTGAGTATGATTTATAAAGGAGGGTAGATGTGTTAAAATATTCGATTATTTAACTTATATATATTTTTTTTAAATCATTGATTTATTATTTTCTCTAACATAACACAATTATTTAAGGAAATTTGGTTTGAAATAGTTTAAATAAGAGTAAATAATGCCATCTACACCAAGCACAGATGCATGGAAAACACCATCTCTGTATGACTTATAGTTTTTTTTTTCTGCTAACTCCAGTTGAGTGCATCATGTATGTACAAATTTTCTTAATAGATTTGAATCCTAAAGAACAAAATATAACTATAAAGCCACAGTGATGGATAAGGTAATGGTCAAGAAAATCAATTAAATTTGTACGAGTTGTTTGTTCAGGATGAAAGTTTATTTTTCAATTTGACAGGAATTATAAATGAAGATTTCAGTCTCCGTTTGAAAAATTGTCTACCTACTATTGATAAAAATTATGAATGAAATGAAAATAACTTAATTATGTTGGGATCAGTGTCCCTTTAGAACAAATAAACTTGACAGTGTGTCCATTGCTTAAATCAAATATTTACATTATTAGTAATATAAAGAAATTAAAAACAAAACAAATGTAAAATAAACAGAGAAGGATCAAATAAACAAATAGTATCTGGGGACTCTTACATGCATTTCATGGTAAGTCGGATTGGGTATTGATAAGTAGAAAAGGTGTTTAACAAGGACAGATTTGAAAGAGGAAACTGATTTTGCGTGTCGAATTTCCTGAGGGAGATGGCTTGAATTACAGAGGTTCTGTCAAACGCAGCAGTCCATTGAGAAGGAGAATAGAGGTCGGATGTACGGGATCTAGTGGGAAGGGGTCACTAGCGGGGAGCGCGCGTCCTCTACCCTTGGGAGCTGGAAAAAATCCAAAAAGCAGCTGTTTAAAGAAAAGGGAAATGTAGCATAAATTCATCCTCGTAGACGATGAATATCCTTAGGTAACATAAAAAAAAATTATGGAGAGCAGCACTAGCGAATTCTGCCAGGGGGCGCGCTCTCCCATGGATGGGGGAAAAATTCCGAAAAAGTGACAAAAACATCTATTTAAAGGAAAGAAATGCAGGAAAAATTTGTTCTCATTCACGAATTTCCTAATGTAATACAAAAAAAAAATCTATCGTGACCAACACTAGCGAATTCTGGTGCGTTCTCCCTTAGATGGTTGAAAAAAGTAACAAAAACACCCAGTTAAAGAAAAGAGAAATATAGGGAAAATTCATTATCATTCACGAATTTCCTACTGTAATAAAAACAAATATTATAATCGTGACCAGCACTAGCGAATTCCGCCAGGGGGCAAAAGCACCTTAACACCTTGGATGGTGGAAATAAACAAAAGCAATTATTTAAAGAAAAGGAAAATCTAGGAAAAATTCATTCTCAAAGACGAATTTTCTATGATATAAAAAAATTATTATCGTGACTAGTACTAGCCGATCCAGCCGGAGGCGCGGACCTCTCTTCCCCATATGGTTGGGGAAAAGTTCCACAATGCAGCTATTTAAAGAAAAGAGAAATATAGAAAAAATTCATCTTCATAGACGAATGCCTAATGTAATAAAAAAAAGTTATTAACGTGACCAGCACTTGTAATTTCTGACGGGGCGCGCTCCCCTCTGGACGGTAGAAAAATAATCCCGAAAAAAAAACATCCAAAAAAATAGCTATTTAAAGAAAAGAGAAATATAGGAAAAATCATACTCTAAGACGAATTTTCTAATGTGATCAATATCATCATCCTCAGCTCGAAAATCCATTACTGGATCTTGGCTGCCTCAAGAGTGTTTCTCCATGTTTTCCTCTCCCACAGGCGGATCTACAGGGGAGGGGAGGAAGATTTCGTGCTGAAGCCCCGATTCTGCAAGGGAGCGACCGCTCCCCACCCTCCCCCTGGTTGGTAAAAAAAATCCAAAAATCGGCTATCAAAGAAAAGAGTGATGTAGTTTTTGGGACGCCGTGAGATGCGAAGGCTTGTGCTCCTTGAGTTTGTTCTTATTGACTCCGAACTAAAATTCATCTTGCAGATGGAATACATGATAGAGGAAAATTTTTTTAGAAAAATTATGAACTTTATTTATTCTTTCGAACAACCTTTTATTCGAGCACAAGGAAATGCAAAAGAAAAATGTTTTCTCCCGGACCCAGTTTTTTTTTCAGTTCCATTAGATCTGGATGCATTGCAACCTCAAGCAATTATAGTCTCCTTGAAGAATCCATGCGATTTATAACACTGGTCACGATAATAATTTGTAAATTTTTCATTAGAATGTGTTGTTATTGTCTTAAAATAGCAACTATTGAGAACGTTTTCATGAGGCAAGATTTGAATTGTAGGCTCTGTAGAATGTAGGAGGGCAGCTGAGATCTAATAGCCTGTTATAGGAAGGAAAGGAACTGTCGGCGGTAGTACAGATAGAGAGAACCACTGTAAATGTAATACTGGGTGATATGCGTGTCTTTTGAGATCCAGAAAACAAAGCGTATTGAGAAAATCGTTAGAAGTTTCAGTTTGTTTCCAAATTCTCCCGTGAGTCCGCTGCGTCACACAGCCATAGTTGGAAAGTGGAGGAAAACAAGGAGTGACGGGTTCTGAATATGAGATAGCGTAAAGGGTTGAACTGTTTCAGGGTGTAAATAATACGACAGGAAATTTGGGAGACGTGTGGTTTGCAGGAGAAGATTTGTTGATCAAAGCTGTCACCTAGGTTTTTAAAGGTAGTATTGGAAAGAGATAGGCGAGTTATTCAGGAAAAGATATGGAGGTACAGTAATGGATTTGAGGGGTAAGGTGGGAACGACTTTTGTCTTATCGCCATTTAAAGTGAGCTTAGTGAGATTTGCCCAAGCACATGTTCTGTTGATATCTTCTTGAAGTTTAAAGGCGGCATCAGAGGAATCGGCCGAAAGATAAATTTGAACGTCTTCGGCATACAACTGGTTTTGAAAGTGCAGGATAGATAGAGGAAGGGAGGTCATTGTATAGATGGAAAAGGGAGTGGGATTTAAGGAAGAACCTTGTGAAACGCCTCTGGACAAGGAAGAGAGTCTGATGAAGGATTATTAGGCACTACAAAATACTAGCAGCAATCGGTAAGGAAGGATTGGAACCACTTAAAGGCATTAGATGGCAAGGAGGTATTTTTAAGTTTAATTAGTAACATATTATGGTCTACAGTGTCAAATGCTAGGGGAAAATCAAGCAGAATAAGGATGGTGAGTTTCTGTTGGTCTATAGCTATGTAGAAATCTTGGGAGATTTTAATAAGCGTTGAATGGGTAGAGTAGTCTAATCTAAAACCGGATTGATGACAATTCGGAAGGTTATTTTGCTCGAGATAGTGGAATAATTGGGATTGAGCTAATCGTTCTATAGGTTTGGAAAGGTTATATAATAGAGAAATTGGACGGAAATAATCAGGAGTTGTGGAGTTAGAGGTACTGGGGAAAGCGGAATTTTGTAGCGAAAAGTTATAGATATGATAAAAGATAGAGAAAATGAATGCAAGTTAGAATTTAATCAGTTTAACTGGGATGTTATCTGGTTCGAAATCATTGATTTTGGGATTCAAGGAGATCGTTAGGAGCACAGGCGGATCTAAGTGGAGGAGAGGCTTTCACGCTGAAGCCTCTTCCAAGATGGTAAAATATAACCGTGTTTAATAGCAAAAATTATCTCTAAAAGTATTATTGTTCGTCTAATTACATTTAATAGGACTAAACGAATCACTTAAACACCATTTCATATAGAAAGTTAGTTTCTTTCTTTCTTTGGAAGTAATTATCCTAATATATACATACAAAAAAAGAAATCTTTCATGTTGAATCCCCTCCCAAAATTAAATCCTGAATCCGTCAGTGGTTGGAGGTAATATGGATTAGGATTAAAGAAGGGATGAATGGGAGGGGGGGAGGAGAGGGAGGTCGAGCTGGTGCTTGGAAAAAGGAATTAGAGGAACAGGAGATATTGAGTACGTTGGCTGAAATATGATACCAACTTGCAGGAACCACCATACAAAGGTAAGATTAGCCGCCGCATCCGAATAACAGCAGAAGAATATCGTGATTTAAGAACTGAAAAACGCACTTATCGGTAAAAAAAAGAAAGAAAAAAGAGGCAATATAAGGATGGTGAACTTGTAGAGATTCAGCACGCCTGCTATTCAAAATCGAAGAATACCAATTTAAGCCGTCTGAAAAAAACATTATTGTTACCGATAAAAACAAAATCACGAAAGAAAGAGCACTTAAGGAGCACCTGAGAATTGTAAGAGTGACAATTTCAAATATCAAGACACAGTACCTGACTAAGCTACATATAAGGAAGAAATAGTGCCCTTGATAAACTTAAGGACTATAATGTTCCTGGTCATGATAGTCTCTCTGCAGAAGTATTCAAGTATGGACGAACTGCTTTCGTGAAATGTCTACGAGATCTTTTTTGGATATTTTTATAGAAAAATCGATGCTGCGTGCCAGAAAAAGGTCTCTATTACACTGCACATAACGTCATTATCTATCTACTTTAGTACTGCTTTACTTTTGATAGTCGTCCTATTTAATCGGGGCCTCTTACAATCAAGAAAGAGTTGATTGAGAAATCGAACGGTGGGGTGCATTTCTTAGCAGTAGAGGATCTAGGATTTAATTTTGGGAGACGTTTCAGCCCGAAAGCTTTATATATAACGATTATCAATTTGGAAGAAAACTAAAGAAACTAACTACCTAAATGAAATGGGGCTTAAGTGATTCTCGAAGTTCTATTAAATGTAATTACTTTTCCTTTTTTTTTTTGTTCTTCCCTAAACTCGCCATTTAAGCTATTCGGGGGTTTTGCCGGGCCTTGGTGTTTAAGTGATTCTCGAAGTCCTTAAATGTAATTACACGAACAATAATACTTTTAGAAATAATTTATTAATATTGTTTTCATAACATATGGATATATTTTACCATTTTGTGAGGGCTTCAGCCCGAAAGCTCCCTCCTCTCCCTGTAAATCCTTCCGTCTGTGAGCAGTAGTAGTACAACTCATTTCCTTGTTTAGGGTTAATTTGAAGTGTTATTATATTATCTTTATTGTAAACTTCTCTGATAATCTCATCTGCGTTACCACCTCTATTTGTTTAACGTTTTCAAATTTTTCTTTGGAAATTTGACAGCTAAAAATCTCTCCATTTATAAATTACGGACCCATAGATATGAACAACTATCGACACATTCACATATTAACTTAAAAATAAACTTCTTTAAGGAATATCCTGCATTTTGATCCAAGATGTAAAGAAAAAAAAATGGCAGTTTAAGGGAAAATATTTAGATTTATAACTAAATTTAAGAGCGCAAGAGACACCGATAGTTCATTATATCCTATGCCTGACGTGCCATATTGTAATTCCTTACACTGCACAATCTCTAGCAGTCAGCATTTTCTGGAAGTTATCAAGTTAAAAAGAGGAAAATTCTATTTTTTGTTTTGTCATCGTCGTCATTTTAAAATTATATTATATTTATCTAGGTATGATGTTAAGCTGTATTAATGCTACAGTGATATCTGCTATAAATGAGGTTTAACTAATTTTCTTGTCTCCATTTGAGAGAGAAAAGATAAGGGTAACGATTAGTCAGTGAGATTTATCTTTATGTACACAGTACATACATTCCGATCGATTGATTTTAGTTCACTTTTTTTTCTAACGAACAAGATTGATTTCACTTTTCAAGGTTTAATTCATTTATAAAATAAATAAATAAATAATTCCTTTATTAAATCTTTGATATACTTTTTAAATAATATTTTAGACTCAAAATTAAAATAATAATGAAAGGACAATATTGTGACATATTGTTGGTAGCTCTTACTTAATACAAAGATGGAGTGAACCTCTTTGTTTATTTTTAAAAAGGTTTGACATCGTTGTGTACTTTTATTGTCAGGAGGTGTTTCTGTGATTCCCCAGGTTGTTGTTCGCTTTAGATGAGTTGTCAGGAAGTGTAAAAAATAGGTAAGTGGTCTATTATTGTCAATTTACTTTTGTCTTATTAAATTTCAGCTAAGTAATTCATTGATCATTATAAAAATAAAATAAAAAATACTAGGTTGCTTCTCCCTTATTTTTGTAAACAAATATTTTTGTCGCTGTTTATTTCTACTTGAACCGAGTTTAGAATAAAATAATGTTAATGATCCATGTTTTCAAGGCAAATGGTTAAAGGTGACTGTTCATTAAGTTATAAAACAATTAGTCAGTTGATGCTGAAATATATTTATTAATATCTCATTACTTTAAAGACGGGGAAGATTTTCTTATATCACATTATGACCTTTTCAAAGCAGTATGTGGTTTATTAATTTCGTTTATTGTTGATAGATTAATATTTTCTTAAAATTTAACTCTTTTATTAACTATGATTCTCTTAAAACTGTGATTTTGCTTGCCAAACTCGTTTTGGTTCTATTATTTTTGAAAGATTTGTATGATATTTAACTATGGTACATTATATTGATTTTTAAATTTCATTATAATAATGAATTGTGAATGAATGAATACATTGTGATCTATCTAGTTTCATTTCATGACAAATTTTCTATATTCTCCAGTGTTCCTCTTTTGGTCTAATGAGTGTTTCAAATCAACAGTTGGTTGAACTTTTACCTGTTAGTGTATTATTATTTTTTTTTATATTAATGGTCAGGCTAGTTTTAATTTCATTATTTATAGAAAAATTATATCTAGAATAACAAAACCTTTTTTTTTCTCTAAAAAAATTTTTAATTTTAAATAAGGATTTAAATGGAACCCTTATAAGTTTTTTAAAAATAGTTAAATGTTTCTATTGCTTCATGTGTAAAGTGGAGTAACCTGAAGTTTTACTAAAATTTTCACATCAGTGTAAGATGTTTTAACTCTCCCATATAAACATTGACACTGGCCACCCAAACAAACGTATTATCTGACAGCTTACACCATAATTTATATTTTGAACCAAGAAAAAAAAGCACTTAATATTAATGTTTAGTTTCGTTTATTGAACTTTTAACAAATGATATTACAGAATATGTATAAAGTATGTGAAATATTAAAAAATCGTTAATATTTTTTTTTCATTCTTTTAAAAACTATTATTATTAATGAAAAATCTGCTAAAAGAAAGAACTAATTAACATAAAGTAAAAAATATATAAATTAATTTTTAATAGTATGAAAGCATTTACTGCTTCATTGTTGAGAATACTGAATCCCAGAGGCTATTTTAGTAATTTTTTCGTGTCTGAGCCTGTCTAACACATTTACACCTCCTTTTGTCATATTATAAAATTAGTTGATTTGCGTTTTTTCCATTTAGTTTATTTCTATCCCAAAAGACAATGAAGAGATCAAATGAACATATTTATTTCCCATGGGGGGATGTGGAACTATTATGTTATCCATGGAATATTTAACCATTATGTTATTAGGGGGAAGTATGTAACCATTATGTTATCCTGGTTGGCGAATAGCGATAAACTAACAGGAGGTATAGATATTAGTGATGATGGAATCTGTAGTTAGTTTTTTCTTAGATTTTCCAGTCTTCTTTTTTTTTTTAATCTTTCTTTGGAGTTCATCAGTTATCTCTAAAGACACTAACCAATTGTCGGGAGTTATGTTGATTTTGCTTTCTTTCAACGAATAAGTAAGCTGTAAAATATATTTTGCTGGTAATGGTCGGTTTTTCTTCTTCATCAATTCTTTGCAAATATAAGGTATCTTTTGAATGAAGTGGAAAGTTCTGGCATCTCAAGGAGGATTTTTATTCAATTTATATATATTTTATTTAATGGAATTTTTATTTAGTAAATAATATCTCAAACCATTTTATAAAAAAGTATGACTTTTTTTAATCCAATGAGATCCACTGCCCTTTAAAATGTTAAAGCGAGTTGAGAGAAAAAAATATCTTTTCTCATTAATAAAAATAAATAATAGTATGAACCAATAGTGGGTAAATTGGTTCTTTCTTCAAGTAAGAGCTGCTCCCATTGAAAATTGGATCAGAAATGGTGTTTATAACAAATGAAGAATACTTCTTGCTTACAAGTTTCAATTGGCACTTAAGAAGTCTTTATTTTCCCACAGTGCTACCAAAGTCAACATTTACAACCTTATTAATGATAGACTAACTTTGCTGCTTGAATGGAACCATATTAAATTCAGTCCTGTTTTTACATGAATTAACTAAATTTTGACCAGTTAATTACTGCTATTTCAAGAGCTTAACTCATATTTTATGTTAAAAAAATATATTATAACTATATGATATGTTAGATAATATCAAATTATTCACAGACGACCCACCTTTTTTAGCACTTAGTCCAATAGTTGATTTACATCATGTTATTCCATGCTACTTTTATCCCATATTTTGTACCCGGTTCATCATATGTCTTTTTAATTTTAGTACACCCTAAATATTTAATATCTGCAAATATTTTGGCAATTATTCTCTCTTTTAACCATTACGATTATACAGAAGGCCAACCAGATCAGAACTAATTTTCAAATATTTATGACTTTTGCTTGTCTTGCATTTTAAGTGATTAAGTTTTTTAAAAAGAAATTATGAAATCATTAAATTATCTCTGCTAAAGTTATTAATACTGCTTAATTAAAATTCAACCCTTACTACTGAATTAGTTGCAATGGAACAAAAAATAATCACCTGGCAATGCTTCATATTCACTTGTTTCCAAATTGTGTCATTTTTCTATTAACAATTGTTGATTTATATGAACTCAATTAAATTACTGTTTGAGGTAAAGTACGATACAAATTTTTGAATCTGAATGGAGATTGCTGCATGTAGCGAACTGCTGGCGCTGTTATTAACATTATCCAGTTAAATTTAAGAAGTAATTCTTCCTCAAATATTTTCATTTAATAACATCTGATTTTAAAAAAATTATATGTTATAATCAGTTGTTTCCATGTCAGTAATTTTATTTATTTAATTCTGAAAACTATTGTTGCTTTCTTAAAGATCATGATTATGAATAGAAAAACTTGACATAATTAAAAAAATAGTAATTGATTTTTAAAAAATTGGTTGAATAAATGTGTTGTGTGGGAGATGGATTATCTCTTTTGGAAACAATGTGATTAATTATTTACATTTGCTCACTTTAATTTAATAAGTCTAACCTCAGATCATTTTTCCAGTTAAACGTTGTTTTATCTCGTAATTACATGTCTCAATAAAATAAATTAGGGTTTATTTATCACATTTTTTTTTTTTTTTTTACAAATTCTAACAACTTTTATCTGCATAATAAACTAAATTATTCGTATTTAAATTATAATAGAGTTTAAAATTCAACTTACTAGAGTAAAAAAAATTATGTTTAGTTATAATTAAAAATTATATTCATTCCAAATTATTTTTTATTAGAATTTATAATTTTAATTTCATTATTGTAATCTCTCTATTGCATAATTATAACCAACTTGCCAGAACATATTATGGCAAAGTTTTTGTAGTCAATTAGGTTTTTCTGTTGAAATTTCGAAATTAATGTTAGTTTCATTAGTTTCATTGATTTGTAGGTCATAAATGGGAATCGATCAATCAATCTTCTTGATTGAACTGGAATTCTAAAATACTATGTTGACAAATATTTTATGCCTAATTTTCATTGATTATTATGACAATTTAATCACTTTCATAGTATTATTTCATAGAACCTTTTTTTTCTCTTTTAAATAATAAATACAAGCAAATATTTTATGGATTGATGCTCGACTGTAATAAATAATTGAAGAGAAGTTTGTTGGGGTGTTCATTAAAAAAAAAGTAAAAAAAAAATTATATTTATTTATTATTACTTTTTTTTTTTTTTACTGAACACCCCAACCAAATTCTATTCATACAAATATTTTGGGGGTAATTATATACTGTTTTGCTGAGAATAACTTGTGTTTACAATTTTTCACCTCAGTTCTATTAAGTTTACACAATAAAATTTAAGAAAATTACTATTTTAATTTCATAGCAGATTTGGTCTACCTACAAAATTATAATTTGTGCTTTAGAGAATAGATTTCTGTATTATTCATTTTTTTTTCTGGTTAATTTGAAGAGGCTTAGTCCTTAGTCACTGTGCCACATCTGTCGATCATGGGCTATTGTTTTCTTGCTGTTAGTCAATCTAAAATATCTATTTTTATTCTTTCTTTTCATTTGAAGTTATGTTTTATACTGGGTCTTTTGACAGCTGCTGTTGCATTGAAAATTGTAGTTACCCTTATGGATAGCTTTAAGTCAAATTATCTATCATTGTCAGTCTGAATGCACTTAATTATTTCATTATATGTTGGTTTTAGGATTATTTTTTTATTATTTGTATGTATGTATGTTTCTTTTTGTGGTTTATTGTTTATCAATCAATGCTGTTAAGATTTAGACAGATATCAAACTCTGTAACGATTTTGTTTTAACTTGTTATTTATTTCTCTGACAATAAAAACCATAATGTGATTTAATTGTTGTTTTTGATGAAATATTGAGCTTTGGAATAATGATTTTGAAGTGAGAATCGTTCACCTTATCACTTTTTAAGTGCTCTAACCAATTATGTTTATTTTTTTCGCATGCATTGTGAGTGCTTTTCTTTCACAAGATCTGTCAATAAAATCTTAACATTAAATTAAATTATCTTATCATGCTATATTATTGTTCCAGCTTATGGAAATAATTTTTGTAAATTTAATTCAACCACAATCCTGACAATATTATAGCCTAACTATAAGAAGCATGATTTACTTATTTATGTTTTTTATTTATTTTGGAGCAGATTTTTTCATAAGAACAAGTCAAGTTTAGGTTCAAATATCTCTTGTTCAGTCAAGCGTGAAAATTTAGTTAGCAACATAGCTGTGCAAGGTCACCATTTCAGTTAGGACCTGTAAGTTTTATCTAATACTTATCAATTGCATCCACATCTTAAAGGTGGCTATTTAACATCAAAAAGTCTGATAAATATATAAGGATATTTTTATTAAGTTCATCACTACTATATCTATTCTGTATGTGTGGTCTTCTTTAGAGGCTAAAGTCCTCACTGTAGATGGGGTGGATAATGCTTATAATTCAATGTAAATTTAATACCAGTTAAACACATTTTAGTCCCTTCATACACTTCTTCTTCTTCATGGATGCTACAACTCATTGCTGAGTCTTGGCCTCCTCAATTAGTTTCACCCACTGCTATCTCTCTCTTACAGCTCTCCTCCAGTTGGCCAGTCCAAGAAGAGCTCTATCATCCGTGTCGACCTCATCCATCCAGCGCAATCTAGGTCTTCCAACTCTTCTTTTTGTTTCTGGACGCGTCAGCATAATTTTGCTGGTTGGACTATTCTCATCCATTCTGGCTACCCTTCATACACTAATATGATAAATTAGTATGTATTGAGCAATTAACCAGTTGAGGGTGAGGGGGGAAGGTGGAAGAGTGGGCTAATGCGTGTGCACAGCACCGTGCATTGTCTGGCAACCAGGATCCAAGATAATTAGATAAAAATAATTACAATTTCGTATCTCGTTGCTTGGGGAGGTCTTTTAACTCTACCATTTACCTTCCGCCCTCACCACCTGGCCCGAGAAAACTCTGCATAGCCTAAAAGAGGAGGAAGAGGACAAAAAAAAAAAAAAAAAAAAAAAGGATTTATTGAGCGATTTTCATTTAGGTCTATAACTTCCACTACTTCTCTTTCTCTTTTACAGTAGTATTCAATGATGCAGAGAACCATTCTAAAATGGTCAGAGATTTGTGTTGTTAAATATATCCACTAATTTTTTTATTTTTTTTTCTGCTCGTATTACAGACCTTGTTTATCTTTTACCGCCTTAATAAGCCTATTCCATCTCTTCCTATCTTGGGCTATTAGTTATCTGCATGCAGCTATATTGTATCTATATATCCACTCATGACAATAATAATCCTTCATTAAATTCAGTGTTACCAAGGATACTCCTGTTGTGTTTGTTATTAATTGTTAATTTATTTACATTAGTGGTCGAAATTTGACCATAATCATTATTGAATATTTGAGGAAAACTCATATAAATTTGCAAGTTTCCAACAATTTTTTCCTACTCTTATACATTGTATATCTCAGAACATATAACTTTATATCTGTGTCCCATAAATAAAAATTGCCATGTCCATATTTTTTTAAATTTAATAATTTATTAGCTAAGAAACTAATTTTAATAGCTCAAAGTTAAAGAAAATTAGTTCCCCGAATAAATAAAAAAATGGTAAATGTTCTTTATCTTAGGTATACAGATTTAGTTAATAAGAAACAAATTTTAATAGCTCAATATTATGGAATATTGGCTTCCTTGAACAAATACATAAATGGACTTGGTGTTTTACCTCCAGGGTACAGATATATACTTACAATCCAAAAAAAGTCCAGGAACATTGCCGCCATTCCATGCCAAATATAAATCTGTTATAATATAGCTCTCCTATAAAATACAAACTGAAAAAAATGCAATAAAAATATTTTATAGGACATGGTTTTTTTCGATTAAGACGATTTTTCTTTCTTTTTTTTTTTTTTTTTTTTTTTAATTAAGGAATTCAAGAAGCTTTCGAATACTCAGATTTAATGAACAAAAAAAAATTCAGGAGAGAAGTTTGTTGGAGTGGGGTGTTAAGTAAAAATAAATAAATAATTTTTATTTTTGCCGACGTTTCCGCCCAAAGTTCAGGCCTTAATCAGAGCTGTCTGAACCTATCTCACGAAAGGTTCCCGTAAGATCAGCCCTGATGAAGACCTGAACTTTGGGCCGGAACGACGGCAAAACTATTTATAATTTATTTATTTTTACTAAGTATTTTGACTGAACACCACAACCGATTTCTCTTCTATTATTTATGCTACAGTCAACCATCAATCCACTTTAAAAAATGTATTCCTTTTGCTATTTGCAAATAAAATTCTGAATCTATCGATTCCTCTTTTTCAGCTTGTTTTCGTGGAAGTGTGTTGTGTACATTAATCAAAAGGGCTTTAAGGAGAAGACTTTAGCCAAGTCCTGTTAAAATCGTTGTAGTCCTTTTGGTGCTATAGTCTATGTGACTCACATTTTTTGCTGCCATTTCGAAATTAAAAGCTGGATGGTAATGAAATGTATATAAAAACATTCTTGAATTTGATTGCAACATTGTGTCAAAATGTTAAAGAAATCGGTGAAGAACTTTCAGAAATCCACTGTTTTGAACGAATTAACATTACATTTTTATTTAAATACAGTGTTTCCTAAATTTATTTATTGATAACACTAAAGTTCATCATTAGCTACCAAACAAAAACAGAAACTCTGTTTAGAAATAGAGGAGAAAAAACGGACTGAACTGTTTTGCTTTAAGTTATCTTGTAGATTTTTGTAATATATATCATAATCCTATATTTTCCATTTATATATAATATGTTGTATTAGATATGAAAATTAATAAAAATTTGTGTTTGTTAACCAGTTATGTAAATTTTAAAAAAATTATTGATTTTATTTAACATTACAGAAAGATGGCTTCACAACAGCATAGTCTTCCACCAGATGTGCAAGAGAATATTGTCCATAATATACAAAAAATCTTTCCTAATTATGTTGATAAAAAAATCATCAGGGCAGTATTAAATAGGGAATGCTGGGATCGTAAGTGAAAAATTTGTTTCTTTTCAATATGTTTAAAGTTTTCTGTATAATTTAAATTAATTGTTTAAAAGTCTTTTATTTTTATATTATTAACCTTTAAATATTTTAAAGACTATCGCTCCCAAGTGATTCATTTTCATGTAGCCATGATGGTGTTAGCAATTTTAGGTCATATGAAAAGTAGAAAGTTATTTACGACCAAGTGAAACCATTTCACTCTATTAATACATTATATTCAGTGATGGATCCAGGAGTTTTCATGATGATCCAGGAATTAAAATGGTTATGATAATAATTTTTTTTAATATTACATTAGAAAATTCTTCTATGAGGATGAATTCTTCCTATATTAATCTTTTCTTTAAATAGCTGCTGAAACTTTAGGAACTTTTTTGGAATTTTTTGTCCACCATCCAGGATTCGCTAGTGCTGGCCACAGAAATAATTTTTTTAATATATTACAGTAGAAAATTTGTCTATGAGGATGAATTTTCTCTTGTATGTTCCTATGTGTCTCTTTTCATTAAACAACTGCTTCAAATATTAGTTTTTGAAACGAAGGTCCTTCAGAAGAAATTTGGCCCATTTAAGGAGAATGATGAATAGAGAATTAGACGCAATCAAGAACTAGCCAACTTATAGGAATCTGATGTTGAAAAATATATCCAGATTGCAAGGCTGAGATGGGAGGGCCACGACGTTGTATGGATGGACAAAACATCAATCCTAAAGAAGCTGCTGAGCATAGAGCCAGTTGGAAAAAGAAAAGTGGTCAGTCTGAAACTGAGATGGAAAATGGAGTAAGTGCTGGTGCCACAATCCTTGGAATCAGGAACTGGTGGAGGCTGCTCATGACATGGAAACATGAAGGAAAACTCTTGAGGCAGCCAAGATCCAGTAATGGATTGTTGAGCTCGGGACGATGATGATGACTTTAAAAAATTCGTCAAAGGGGATAATTTTTTCCTATATTTCTCCTTTCTTTAAATAGCTGTTTTTTGTAACTTTTTTTGGATTATTTTTCCACCATCCAGAGGGAGGCGTGCCCCCTGGCAGAAATCACTAGTGCTGGTCACGATAATAACTTTATTTTATATTACATTAGAAAATTCATCTTATGAGGATGAATTTTTGCTATATTTCTCTTTTCTTTAAATAGCTACTTTTTGGAACTTTTTTCTCACTATCCAGGAGAGAGAGGGGCTGGTTCCGCCAGTACTGGTCATGATAATAATTTTTTTTATATCAACTGAGAAAATTTCTCTTAGAGATTGATTTTTTCTATATTTTTCTTTTCTTTAAATAGCTCTTTTTTGAAACTTTATTCCGGATTTTTTTTTCTCCATCCAAGGGGTATCTCGCATTCTGGCAGAATTCGCTTGTGCTGGTCACGATAATATATATATATATATATATTTTTTTATATTACATTAGGAAATTCTTCGTCTATGAGGATGAATTTTTCCTATATTTCTCTTTAAATAGATGTTTTTGAAACTTTTTTCAGAATGTTTTTCAACTTCCAGGGGAGGGGAGCGGACCCCCTTTCCCCCTCCCTGGCTGGATCCTCTAGTGATTATACTAACCATTACATTCTAAAATTCATAAATACCTAATTCATAAATGTTAGACAGATACAATATATATGATTTTGAGGTACTAAATAGCCATTCCTGAGATTAGCAGAAGCTAAAAGTGTAGTACGTCATCATTAGCAGACATAGGGTTGTTTCAAAGACTGATCATTTGCTTATTCATTGTTCCGTGGAGATATTAAGAAATTTATCTACCTCAGCAAGGCTTTGTTTATTTAATGTTCACCGATTAATTTTAGGATGTAGAGCAAGTATCTTGATAAGAAATGTGTACATGAAAGTATGTACATTTATCTTGTTAATAAGAAAGGAGAGCTAACGAAATTGTTCTATTGATCAAATTAAATAAGAGAAGGAAGAATTTATTTTATATCGATAAAATTAAATCGGATCGCTTGTGTGTTGTGGTCTTAAGCATTATTTATTTTACTTGTAAAATGACTAAAAATATTTTGCATATAAATTTAACTTTTTATGGTTTTAATTTAATTTTTTTTTTCAGTTGAAAAATCTCTAGCTTTTTTGAAAAGCAGTGTAAATTCATTCAATGAAAATCCAAACAATCCTAGAAAGACAGAAAATAGATTGAAAAAATTAAATCAGCCAAAACAACATCCTAAGAAAAATAAAATGGATAACAGTAACATTTCAACTTCTGGACCCAACAAACCTCCTGAATTGTTAAAAAACTTTAAAAAAAAAACAAGATCTAAACCAAATGCAAAACCACAAAACTGTGAAAAGCCTAAGGGTGATTCATTAGTACAAGGAGACTGGGTACTGGTTAGCGAACATGGATCACAAGCTTCAAAAGTGCAAGATACTTCTAAAGACAAAAGCAAGAGTTTTCCTCCTGAAAATAAGCCACAAATCAATGATAAAAGGTCAGCAAAGAGAAAACAAATGATGCAACATTATGAACTTATCAAACAATTTGGTGAACCTTTGAATAGGATATCTGCTTACATAAACGAAGGCATTAAGGTGATGATCCTTCTGAGGGGTTGTTCTGGTAGCGGTAAAACTACATATGCAAATCAATTATTGAAGAAGCATGGGGCCAAGTACCATCAAAGCCATGTATTCAGTGCTGATAACTACTTTGTCAATAAAGAAGGTAAATATATTTTTAATTATGATCTTCTTCAAAATGCGCATACTTGGAATCAAAAATTAGTACGCCTCGCTGTAACCGAAGGTAGAAGTCCTATTTTTGTAGATAATACTAATACCCGTCTGTGGGAAATGAAGGATTATGCAATTATGGCTGTTGAGTTTGGATATATTCTTGAAACTTTGGAACCTCCTACCCCGTGGTTCTTCAACGAAGACCAGCTCTTCAGAAAAACTCTTCACAATGTACCTCGAGAAACGATTAAGAAAATGCTTGATAGATATGAAGCAAATGTTTCTGGAGAAGATGTTCTGAGGGCTTTGAAACTTAATTATGGTTCTGTGGCTCCTCCTCAATTTGTAATAGCTGGGTTGGATCAGCCCATTTCAAAGAAACATAGTAAAATTTATAATGAAAGATTAGAATCATCTAATAATGTACAGAATAAATCGGTTTCTAAAAGCAAGTCTACGAAACCTTCTGACAGTCCTCAATTTAGACCAAGTAAGTCTACAGAAAATTTAGATAATTCTCATCGTTTATCTTCATTTAATTTTAAACCGTTTGGGAATATGCCAGTTCAAGAAAATAATCCAGCGAGATTTGGAAGACCTGGACCTTTTGTACCAAATTCTAACCCCGCTCCTAGCCATTTTTTTGGTCCTGGAAATTCCACTATTCAAAATCACCAGGTACATTATCCTCCACAATTTTATGGACCAAATAATGGACCTTATATGACTGCAGCAGTTCCAAATGTTTTTAATTCTCAGTTTGTTAACAGGAACTTTATACCTAATGCCCCGCCCTCTGAATTTTACCAGCCCACTAATAGATCTTCAGAACCACGATTGGATAATGCTTCAGGTAATAAAATGGTAGCAGAGAATATTATGGATACAACACCTCCATATGTCGACGATTTAATTGATCTCACTGTTCCACTGAATGTTGAAACTATAAGTGATTTAAAGGAACGTCCATCTTTTTCAAGGGAAATGTCTTCTTCAATTTCATTACTTGAAGGACTTAAAATTGAAGGTGAAGAGGTATTATACCAGTCTGACAGTGAATCAGATGATGAAGGAATAGAAGATGAAGAGGAGGATGATGAAGAGAGCTGTGTAGAAGACACTTCTGGATCAGTATCAGATGGAGGTGAAGAAAGCTCTACATCTTACACGACTGCTCTTACAACTGTTGAGCCAGCATCTTCAGAATATGTTATTGTCAAGGATGAAGAAATTTTATTTCAAAAAACTCATGAAGAAGTAACTGGTATCAAGACACTTGAAGACTTTAGGGCCAAAACTAGTAGCACTAGTTTTTCACAAAATTTTGAAAATTTTCTATTTCAATATATGGAAGATTCAAGAAATGGTGCTAAAGTGAGTGATGTTTTACAAAATAATACAAAACAAGAAGAAAGCAATTTATGTACTGAATTTAACCAAACATGTAAGGATGGTAAAATTGATAAAGTCGTAGATGATTCTTCTGATGATGCAGTTATGTCCAAGAGGGTTCGTCCGACAACTTCTTTAGGAGATTGGATTAGGAAAGATGTTAATCTTGAAAAGCCAATTAATTTTCTTCCCAAAGATCAAAGAGTTAAACTTCCAGAGGAGATGAAGAAAATTTCCTTAATGTCTGTTTCAACTAACACTAATTATTTAGATTTTGAAACTCTTCGTGAAGTTAACAATGGTATCAATGTAGAAAATGTTAAAGTTCTCCAAGGAAGTCCTTTTTTTCTTAGAGCTATTTCTAACATACCCTTTCTGCCTGCGACAGTGCTGATGCTGGATAAAGGAGTTATGACTACAAATATAGAAACATCTCAAGTGCTTGTTCGTGATAGTGGAATCGAAAGATTAGCATTGATGTTTCCTGGTGTAGCACGAGAAAATTTGGAAGAACTTTTTGATAAATGTCAGAAGGACATAGATTGGACTGTTGGGCTTCTTTTGGATTCTGGACAAGAGATGTCAGAATTATACTCTTCTCTAGAGCCAATTGAATGTGAAACTTATGATAACATTACATATTCTATTGAAAATTCTGATGTTAAAGAATCAGATGTTCTCTTTGGTGAAATAAAAAAACAGAAAAAGAGAAAAAATGATCAAGAATCAAATAAGTATAAAGAAATACAAGAAAAGATTCAAAATAATTTTAATTTAGGGGAGATCCACTATTCTGAAAGAATGAAAAAGCACATAGAAAGAAAGCATAATATACATATTGGTGCTCCTGCTGGGACTTCAAATGCAGATGTCCCTGAAAATGTAGTTGGTTTAGAAGATGGAATTGACAGCCAGACAGAAAATTCTGATAGTGAAGAAGATGGTGTATTTATGATGGACAGTGACTTCATCTTTCAACTGCAGTCAAGATTTGGTGGCTTGTTGAGGCCTAACATGATAGGTATTTGCCCTTCTGTTAAATATATTCAAATTTGATTTTATTATTACAAATATTTATGTTAATTTGTTTTCGTTAGGTGAAAAAACTGTTGTTAGTATTCCTTCCAGTCTTGCAAGGCAGCTTCATAGTTATATAATGGATTCCATTCTTCAACAAATCGAGGGGGAAGATTTATTTACTGATTCACTTTTGGAAAAAGGTATTTATATTATATTAATTGTATATTTTATAATTTATCTACTTATTCATCATTACAGGAACTTTGAGGCGGGGTGGCCAAGCGGGCTAATGCGTGTGCACAGCACGGCAACCTGATAAATGAAGTTATAAACGATAAAATAACTATGAGTTTGTGTCCCAGTGCAGAGGGATTTTTAACTTTGTCATTAATCCCCCTGCCAATAGAGAAAAAAAACATCAACTTTGTATGATATGTTTTTCTCCATTTGAGTGGTTTTATATCAAAGGTAGATAGATATCTTTCATTTTCAGAAAGTTGTGAAAAGCCAATTCTTGTCTAGCTTCAATCTTAACCAAGTCTGATTATTTTTGTCATTATTCAACTTGAACATAACTTGAAAAAAAAACTATTTGAATTAGTTTTAATAAAGCTATAGAACAAAGATTGGCTTTTTCTTATCTTCCTAAAAAAGATAGATGTCAGTTTATCTTTGAAATAAAGGTACTTTCATCACTAAAAAAATTCTATTTTTCACACAATCTTTTTGGTTATGGTTAAATCAGACCTGAATCATGTTATATTTAATTTTAATACAGAAAAATTATTTATTCTATTTCATCAGCCATGGGATGACCTTGAGATCAGGAGACCCTCCTGGGACACACCTAGCCTCTATAAAGTGGGAACCCTTAATTAAGCAGGAAAACCTGGCAATTGAGCGTGATCTCAGTCAAATCATCTCCTTTCACAACCGTTGACTAAGAAACCGTACTTTTCCTAAATAATACTGAACCCAAGACCATTCAGGGGTTGTAGTGGTATAGTTTTTTTAAATTTTAATAGCTTTCTTTAAGTTGATGAGTGGTTTTTTTTTTTTTTAAATTCAGTAAAAATTACAAACAGTTGTGAAGTGGTGTAATTATTATAGGCCGTTTCGGGTAATTGAACTTTTTTACATCCTGTTAGATTAGAAACACCTTAAATTCCAATATCTGATAGCATAATAAAATTTAGAAATAATAACTTAATTATTATCAACCAATGAAATGATAATAAACAAAATGTTTGTATACTTTTCTGTTGCTTCACACCAGGTCTCAAACTTAAAGGACAATTGTGCACCAGAGAAGGTGCACTAGACCGAGACTAGTTTTCTCGACGGTGTCCATTTTTTCTTAACATTCCATTTAAATTCCGCATTTACGGCATACTTTCACTGAATGTATTACAGAAAAATAAACTGTTTGCAATGAAGTTATAATTCCTTCTCCCATCCCCTTCCCTCAGAAAAAGAAATACTTGTTCTACCAACAACGTTATTATTAAAATAAATATGCCCAAGATAGATCACACCCTCCTCCTCAGGACACAACTGCCAACATTCATGAGATAAGCAAAATAAATGCCCGTAAATTTTACTCTTTACAAACTACTGTAAAAGAATGTAACATTTATTTTAAAATTAGCATTTAATTAAATTGTATGTTTAATGATTATAACTTTCCTACATGATAAATATTTCATTTAACTCAAAACACTTTCTTGTCCTGAACTCCAATCATTTGAAGCTTGAATTACTTTGTGTGTAGATTGCCAATATACAGATGAAATATCCATCAAATATTCTTCTATCATGCAATTAGTTTTTAAAACTGCTTAGAACTTTTTCCAACTTTTTTATTTAATTAAATACAGACTAAGCTTTATTTCTGAAGTTTCCTCTTAGGTTAATATCCAATTCACTTTAATTTAAGTGAAAGAATAAGTTTTTTTTTTAATATGTCAAGCCATTTTATCAGATTTGTTAAAGAGAATTTTTTTTATCTTACCTATGAAAATTGTTAACTTGCTAATAATTAATTCTAGATATTTTTGAAGATTAAATGATTCATTTATTTTTATTTAATTGATAATTATATTTGTTTTATTTTTTTTATCATATTGATTTTTAAGTTTAATATATGTCATATACAGATGAGGAGTTAGCCCGCAGTTTACAAGAAGAAGAGTTAAAAACCCGTGGTGCTCGCAGCCTTCTTGAGATAATGGATGAAGAAGTTGCTCTGAAAACTACTTCACATGTATAGTTACTCTTTTTCTTATACTTATTTTAACTTGAAATAAATATATAAGAATATGAAAAAAATCTAAATAAATTATTTTTTATCATGATCTTTTTGATAAAATAACATATAATTTTTTTCATCTGGCTCTAAGATCTACCTAGTTTAGAGCACTGACTTCCTGCAACAACTTCCAAATATATCTGTTTTCCTTATCATCAGAAAATTTTGAAGATGCTAATGGTGTTAACATTACAATACAGCTCTAACCACAGCATGTGTCCTTTCAAATGCAGTGCAAGTCGTTATGATATCCTCACACTCCGAAATACTATAACTGAGCCATAGTTGGTTGGTTGTCTTCTTTATGCTATGCTGTCTCTACCTTGGAGAAGATCTTTTTCGGAGTTCTCTTGGCAAATATTTTCTTGGATCCTTTTCCTCTCGCCAGAATAAAGTATCTCTTCACCTCTCTCCTTAATATGGTTCTTCTGTTCAAAAGATCCCAGCATCCCTGTCATCAACATATACCTAGTTCTGCCATAAATACTGTTACAAAAGTTGAACTTTGTTTACATCCTTGGGTATTATTTATATAATCCTTACCTCTATCAGGTTATTTTTTTACATGTCAGGATAATAATCCCAATTAGTATTTTTCTTTGACTCAGTTAGCATGGTGTGGGATGATAAAGAAAACCGAAGAGCTGTTTCACAATTGCCTCACATAAAGTTGGAAAATGTAGGTCAGGGATTTTCAACACTTTCAAACTTTTAGATATCTGCTGTATGCTCATGTACCACACTATAAATAGATATGAGACCCTATCTGTATGTGACAGACCTCGACTGAGCCATCCCCGCACTGTGAGAACGGCAAATGCAGTGAGAACAATGGCTACTCGAATCAGAAGAAATGCCATTCGAAAACAACAAATTATGTCTCGGGAAATGGAAATCTGTGTCAGATCAATGTCTCGCATAATAAAAAGTGACCTTAGGAAGGGAGGATGCGTTTCGAAGAATGAAAGGACAAAGGGTAACCAATTCCCTAAAAAAAAAAAAATAGAGTGGATAGATGCAAAGTGCTTCTTGGCCATTACACCAATGGTCTTCATCGAAAGATTTTGTTTAGCGATGAGAAAAATTTCACAATGGAAGAAAAATTTAATCACCAAAATGATTGTGCGTACGCACACATCTCTAAAGAAGCCCAAGAAATCATTGGAAGATTTGAAATAGGTCATCACCCTTCCTCAGTGGTGGTTTGGTGGGGAGTTTGCTTTGATGGTACCACAAAGCTCCATTTTTGTGAAAAGGAGCTAAAACAACCGCTAAAAACTATCAGGATGATATTTTGGAACCTGTTATCAAGCCTTTAAATGATACTGTGTGCTAGAAGTCATTTTTGCAGGATTCCACTCCAGCTCACTAGGCCAGATCAACTCAGCAGTGGCTGCAAAAGAACATTCCAGAGTTCATCTCTGCCTCAAATTGGCCTTCAGGAAGCCCTGATCTCAACAAACTAGATTATCGACTTAAGTCCAAACTGGAGAGGATGGCATGGCACAGAGCACACCCTGACTTGGAAAGCCCTCAAACAATCTCTGGTCTGAGCAGTTGACAGGCCACGGAGATTAAATGCCTGTGTCCAGGCAAATGGGGGATATTTTGAGTAATTTATTTTTTGTTTTACTCTCTATAGATATAGAATTTTATTTGCTAATAAAGTTTTTGAAAAAAGCAATTTTTCTATTAAAATCTGTATATATTTTCTTGTAACAATATTTATGACAGGACTAGGGATATTGTAGTAGAGAACTTCATTCTCAAGCATACCCAAAGACTCTTTCTCTTTTAAGAATAACTTCCACAGGTCAGGCCCAACTTGAAGCATTAAAATTATTTCTTCTATTCAGTATCTTCCATCGCATTAAAATTATTTCTTCTATTCAGTATCTTCCATCTTGTTAAAGCGACCCCTGATTCCCACCCATCTGTCTTGGAGGTAGTTCCTGACAGGGGTGTAGAAGTTGTTGGGAGCCTTATAACTGAAGCTGCTGGAGTAGGCATGACCAGAAAACTCAGTCGAAGATGTTTAATGTCTAATAACATCTACTAGACCTATTTCTCCAGCCTTTTCTTCACGTTTATGCTCACTCTCAATGGGGCATCCATGATTTCTCTGTCTTTATTAGAGTCATACTGTGTGAATAATTGGTTATATCAAGAACTGGTTGCAGACTTGGTACAATAGTTGAGATTTTACCATAGATTATATATGTTCAGTTGATATTTTAAAATATTTTAATTGTACATTGAAACCTCTGTGATTAAAATCATTGTAAGCAACCTCATTACACTGGTTTGGTATATTGTATTTCTCCTCAACCATTTCGAAAGTATGAGGTCGATTATAGTCATCATTCATTCCGATATTCGAATACACTGAGTCCAGACCACCTTTCAGTTGGTTTATTGTTTTGTAGTTTATTGACTATTTAAACTACCATACATAGTGGTTAATAATTTTAATTTTTTCTTTAAAAAAGTTCAAATTGGGTGAAAAGTAAAAAATGGTTTATTCAAAGTATGCGCCATTGCTAGTTACACATTTTTCCAATTTCTCTTGCAATTTATGGATGAGAAACCTTCCCGAAAAATCATTCCTCTTTTGAGATGGTCCAATCTTCAAGTCATTCTTTGACAACTCCATAATCGTTTCTAGAAGAGTGCGTGGGACATCGATGAAAACAAGTGGTAGTCAGAAGGGAGGGGGTAAGGGTTCCCAGCCAAGTATAATAATGGTGTCTTTGATCGCTTTCAGTTCGGGTGATGGGGCGTTGTCATCCTGCAAAATTACTTTTCTGTGTCTTGTTGCTGGTTGCTTTTTGATGACTGCATGGTTCAAATTTATCTTTTTTTAACTTAACGAATGGTATGTTGATAACAGTTGGTTACACCTGGTTTCAGATGCTCCTGGTTCATCACATACTTCTAATCCCATGCATTGTCTTCTTTCCCTAGCGATTCAGTCTTTGCGTTCGATGTTGATGATTGTTGTGGCTCAACTCATGATTTTCTGAGTTTTGGGTTCTCAAAATATATCCATTTTTGTCTTCAGTCATGATTTGATGCAAGATAGTCTTTCTTGTATGGCGAGAATGCAAAACTTTGTTCAGAAACGTTTTGTTTACTAATGCACGTAAAACATAACTTTATAACATGGCGCCCAATTAGCGTGGCTTTGGAAATAGATATATATACCTACAACCTTTTGGCAATTTTACATTGGAAGTTATAACACAATTTAAAAAATTGTAAGTAAATTCAAAAATGAAAATAGTACTATAACCAATATCGAGCCTAAAGGTTCAGAAATTAAAGAATCGGAAACTTCATTTGATAATAATCTAGAAAGTGAAGAGGAAAAATCGACTATAAAAGAAACTAATTTTACAATTAATAATGAACCAGGTAATGCCTTATTAAAAAAGAAAGAAAATTTACAAAAATACATGTAAAAAATGACTACATAATCATGTCTATTACAAAATAAAAATATGAGGTTAACCCAAAATTGTTTAAATATCAATGGCGTTTTGATTGACGAAACTACTGTCATAGCAACAAAATAATATAAGAGGTTAGACTGTGAACTAATTGTTGTTTCCGCATTGGATTGCGTCTTTTAAAAAAATGCATCTTTTACAAAAAATTAAGAATTATTATCCATACCTGATATCTAGTAGTGCCACTTCAAATTTTTGTCCTTTAGTCGGATTTTTATTTTCTGTATGATGAAGTCTTTTCCCAACTTAAATTATTGAAAAATGATTTTTCTATCGAGGCTGAAAATCTATTGTTTATATTAATGGGCTTTCAAAGTATAGCCTGCAGGCTGGGATCTGGACTACAAGCGTCTTCAATCTATTTTATGAAAGTAACTTTAATTACGTGGTAAAATTTAAAAAATATGAACTTTATTAAACCACTAGAACACAAGGTTGCTACAACTTTTCTTGCAAGAGTTTTTAGAAAGCTCATTTCATAACTGAAGGATCATTTATAGAAAAAGTTTTTTTTTTTTCACAAGCCGCAGGACTTTGTATATACACGGTGGGCCAGACCCCCTTACCGTGCACCCCCCCCACATCCCTATAAATTGCATATCGTTGTGTTCCTTGTGACAATTTATTAAAAAAAAGCCAATGTTCCCACAAAAAAAGTGAACGAACTGCCCCAAAATGGCGTCCAAACATGGCGGATTGACGACTTTGACTTTAGTTTTTTTTTGTTACTGAGAATCAGCATTTGGCTTAATTTCATGATAGTTGGTTTTATTAAAGCTGGATAGTCAGAGAATAATAAAACATGAAAAAATATTAAAAACTAATTGGCTTAGGCATTAAAAAAAATCGGTAAAGTCAATTTTTTTTACAAAAAAATTTTCAAGTTGAAAATCAAGCGTCGTTTGTAATTAAACGGTCAACAATAATGCAAAACGTGCCGAAATAAAATATCTGGAGAATACATTTCTCTTTCTAAAACACTGATTACTTTTTAAAATATTTGAAGTAGTTCCGTGTAAAATGTACTTAAGCGGCAGAAAAGCGCTACTGGGGTGGGTGCCTACAGGCCTCTACCACACCACTCAGTACTCATAAATGGCTTAGTTATAGTGCTATAATAACGTTTTGGTTATATTTTATTGATTATATTAACGAACAAATATTAATACAATAATTTAATTGTAAAAAATTATTTTTTTTTAAATTTATTATTTTTGTTTTTATTTTTCATTATTTTTTTTTTTAATTTAAATTCATTTATTCTATACGGAGATCGCTTAAGGGCCTCTATTATAAAAATTATAAATATTAATAATAAAACTTAATTCAAAAATACTTTGCAGAATATCTTGATTTTTTTATTTAATATTTGCAATTTAACATTTTGTTTTATATATTTACTGATTCTTAGAGGTAATTTAAATTGTATATACTTCCCTGGAAATG